TCCACATCATCTGATCTTCCACGGGTGCGCTGGAAGCTCAAGTACACGTTGGACTGGTGGATATTAGACACTGATGTATCCTGTCCTGGTGACAGGATTGAGCAACTAGAACAATGATCCTGTGTTCTAGTATATCTGCGGAATATGTTGGATCGTGAGGCCGTAAGCTTATGTAGGCTTGGCCGAAAGCACAGCACTGACAACTGTAACAAGGAGTTGATGGGATCCTCCTATGGAAAAAGCTCGTAGCATCCCACAACATGACCTCTTATAGGATAGCTTCCGAAGAGGCCGAAGGACGGCTTCCCACAGGACAACCTCCCACAGGACAACTTAGTATGAAGCAACCCCTCATGGGACAACCTCCTCCCAGATGGCTGCCATGTTGCGAGGTCCAACACTTTCCCGTGCGCCTTCGTTGGAATTTGGGAAGTCATGGTCTCACGAGACTCGTCTTCATGACTTTCTAGATCAGGGAGCAATAGGGCCATAATTGGGTGAGAGGACGAGGAAGAGGAAGAGGGACGCCGAGGTCTGGAGGGCTCCTTGAGCCTAACGACCCGAGATCTGGATCAAATGTGAGTAAGCCTGCGGGATCCAAGACAACCGCTCCAGTGACGAAGATTGTGGAGCGTACTCAGCCTGATCCTTCGCATGCTTCCGTAGCGCAGGGTCATCCTTATAGGGACAACCAAGACGGGCCCAGAAGCACCAGGTGTCTCATGGCTTATCCAGGCAGCTTCCCGGAGCAGGCCGAGGGTGCTACAATCCATCACAGTGACACTGATCACATGAGAACGAAGAGGTGATACATCCACATACTATGTCGTTATGTGACATCCGGCTCGGTCCTAGTACATGTCCTCCGGGAATGATATCTGCTTGGGCCAACGAGTAGCATGGCCTGTGCTACCTGAAGAAAATAGCCCCTCATACTCGGGCCTTCTTTGTGAGCGAATATCATGGTGATATTGTTGGTATCATTGCTATTGGTATGGATGGCCGTGAGGTGGAATAAGTCTCAACTGGAAAGTAAGGGAGCCCCTTGAGATGACGTTGTCGTTCTTTTGGCGCCGGTGACATAGCTGGCCCCGGCCCGAATTTCAGGCTCTTGGCTGTGCCCCTGTCGGCAATCAAAACAATAGCGGTGCAGCACACCCAGCCAATGAGGAGGCCAGGCTTGCAATTGAGTAGGAGCTGCTGTTTCTTACCTGATGCCACCCTCGCAGTGGCTGCTCCTTTTTCGCCAGCGAACGCCAGGGAGATGGGGGCCTCGTCTTGGTGGTTTCAAGGGGCCGATGTCATGATTGCCCTCGTGCTCCTCGCACTCGTGCCAGTAGAGAGAGTGTGGGCCGCTGCGACCTGGGCAGCTTCATCGACCGCGCATGGGCCAGAAAACTAAGTCCTTCAACGGAGAGTTGGAATATCGAGGCCTGGTGGTCATTCAGGGGGCGGGGAGCATTGCAGCTGATCACCACCTAGGTTAGATAGTATTTGTCGGGCTGCCATGCAGATTCCGAACGTCACCAGTATCGCTGCATGACAACTGCAGAGGTTTCTCTTGATTCCAGGGAAGCTGACCTGGTGTTTCCTAAGATGCCGGTCCTCTGGACGAGCTGCCGGCCCCCTCCCCCAATGAGCGAGTGCATCAGCGCGCCAGTGCGTTGGGCTACTGCTTTCTGAAGCACCACTTTTTTACGAGGTTTCACCCAGCCAGTCTCAGAGGTGCCGCCGCCATCTGTTGTCTCGCCGATGCCTTGTGCGCCGTGGTTATAGCATTGGGTGCTTGGCAGTCTTCAGATAAAGCCATGGCGGCGGACATCTCGCAGAGGGGCCGAGAATGGTACTCGTTGCCGTGTACATAGTGTCAGAGTGTGAGCCACCGCACCTAGGTCGTACGGTGGAGAGGAGCCTCAGCTAGAGATCGCCGAGGATCGTCCCAACGGCATCCCTGCAGATGTCGGCAGGAGACTCGAGATGAGAAGTCCCGCCAAAGCCAAGCACAAACTTTATCGAGGATGAAGTGACCCAAACGAGCTTGCGTACGTGTGTGCTATTTTCCGACCAACTAAAACACATTTCATTGACAAGGTCGTGGAGCCCCGGGATGGAATTGCACTGCAGTGGTGGATTGTGGATCGTAGTGCACTCGCTGGGCGTGCACATCAGCGCGATGCAGTTGCAGCGCAGTCAAAAGAGGAGAAAATGATCGTCCGGCAAGTAGATCAGATGGGGGTGGGTGGGTGGTAGGGGGCTGCTTGTCAGGATCGTTTGGATGAACCTGGACAGAGCCACGGGCCCGGGGTGGAAAATTAGTCCCGTTTCAGGATCGGACGTTTTATTAGTGGAGGGCCAACGACCGGTCGTCAGTCCGTCCTGTGTCCGTTCCCGTCCGGTCGGGCAAGTGCACACACAGACGCCAAATACAGACACGCGGCGGTAGGTGAACAGCAGGCGAGAATGGCCCAGAGCTGGCCTGCTGGTGTGATCTGCAGGTACCAGAGCGAGGGGACTGGGGAAGCAACGCCCCACGTTGGCGCCCTGCAGGCAACCCCGGCCTGTCAGGGGCATCTGGGCCATCTGTTCGGCCGCTAAGGCGAGGCTAAAGCAGGGGCTCGGAAAGCGGCGACAGGTGTGGTGTGGTGTGGTGTGGTGTGGTGTGTGTGTAGCACGGCGTTTCCAAAGAAGTGCTCCCTAAACCCCCAAGGCCTCTCCCTCCCCCTCCCACACATCCAAGCAGGGAACGAATTGGCATAACCTGAGAGCCTGAGAGCATGCTTGGGCGTCTTGTTGGCTGCAATGGCATGCATGCCTCTCTTCATCTCGGTCCCTGTCAATCATCCGCGATCTGCCTTGTGCGGTGGAGGGAGAAAGTCGGAGACGTTGGAAGAAGTGGGCTCCTCGGCAGGGTTCAAATGACCCAGGGAGGAAGTGATATTCGGAGTCAATGCCCTTTTGGCCCCATGACCTTGACCATACGATACTGCACTGCGTCAGTGGAGGGCTTGTTCCATAGACGACAATGGAGCACGCGAGGTATACCATGGTCCCCGACCAAGATCGCCGTCTTCAAGGTCGGTAATGATATCCAGGGAGCCGGAACGATGTCCATGAGGTGATTCACCAGACAAGTAAATCACTTGGGTCAGCCTACAGCTTTGTCCTCTCGCCTCCACGGCCAGTCAAGACTTCCCTGCCCACCTGCCCACACATTAGAGTGCCCATGCCCAACCTGGCCGTTTCAATGCGAGATGGACGTTTCCAAGGTCCAAGCTTGGACTGCGGCATGGCAGAGTGATAGACACACCCCTCCCCCGGCCTCGCATCTCGCACCTCGCACCTCGCAAGCACCGGGTGGCTCCCAGCGTTCTGTGCCGCAACTCAAATTACTCGAGGGGCCGGTGCGGTGGGCTGCGGGCTAGCGGGTGGCACAAATCAGGAGACAGAGGGCAATTTCTCAAGGGAGATGGATCGAGTGTCAAAGATCCAAGGCACCACGAGGCTCATGGGCAGGCAGGGTCGGGTGCCAGGCTGCTGGGCGTGAGAAGGGCCAAGATTGCCTGCGCAGCTGACGACAGCCTCATCAAACACCCCAAGGTGGGCAAATGCTTCCAGACTGCCCTTCCCGGGTGCCCCAGTGGTCCCTGCCTAGGTTGGGGCCGACCCCTGGCAATCTTGGAAGGCAGGACCCACTGCCCGGGGGGGGGGCGCCAACGTGCATATCCAAGCACACATGGCTTTTACAGGCGGAAAACGGTGGACGGTAGACTGCAGACTGCAGACTGCAGACTGGGGTGAGAGCTGGCTACGTTTGATGTAGGCATGTACCTGCTACTACTAAGTAGGTAGGCACTGTACCCATCAGGTTGTGTGTAGTCCCATCAGACTGTGACTTGGGCCAGGCCGTCAAACCTTATACCTGCAGTGCATACCCACGACCCGCATCGCAGCAACACTCTCTCCCTTCCCTCTCTCTTCACTCCACAGAAGTCAATAGGCACATCCTTTTGGGCCAGTCCGTTCCTTTTCAGAAAATCATCTTGAAGATTGATGTCTTCACTTGCTGCTTGCCGGCCAACACATTCTTTTCATCCCTCGCTTTACCCTGCGGTCTAGTACCAGCGCTCCCTCCACCCACTTCGGTCTTTCCGGTAACCTCGAGCTTGAGCCTCATCACGTCCCCAGATCCGTCTCGCTTGTCGTCACCATACAGCGTGTCCGCTTCCTCGAGCCACAAGGTCTCATACGACTGACTGACTGTCGACGCCGTCTTGTCATTCCTTCCATCGGCTCGTCTCGCCTCAGACAGACTGATCACAAGGTCTCGTTCGCCATCTTGAGGATTCACAATTGGCCAAGTGCTGTTCTGAACCTGCCTGCTTCTGGAAGCCATTTAAAAACGGCCTGCTGTCCCCGCCGCCTCATCCCAGATCTCGGGATATCCTCACCCGCACGACTAGACTCGTAAGCAAATCGCGACGTGCACAAGCACATCACCAGGTACGCTCCAGACTCCCGCTATGCCCGGGTGCTTTGTTTCCCGGCCTTTCCGTTCTTCACACCATCATTCTATCACAAAGCATTCCTGGGAACTAGCCTTGGGCATGTTTAATCCAGTCCGTTCCCTGGACAAAGGCCGCTGGTCGCAAGCCTGTTCCGAGGGCGAGGAACGCACCAAGCCATGCTACCGCGTTGACTCTAAATTCCCTGCATTCCTCCCGTCGCCTGCAAAAACATATACCAATTCCTCACATCGCTACAGCGAGTTTCAAACAACCCTCATTTTTTCTCTTTCCCACCGTCCCTCATTTGTTTCCACCCTGAAGCCCAGCTTCAGCACGCTCATTTCGGGCATCTGCTCTCAACTCCATCATTCACTCTCTTAACTCGAGCGTTTGCCTCGAACCCGCTTCAAAGTACAAACGTTTGGACTGACAGTCAAAACAGCTGCCACTCAGTCTCTGTTTATCCACCACGTCAAAGTCGTACAAATCGTCAAGATGAAGTCTTCACTTCTGCTGCTCTCTGGCGCCTCGATCGCCGCGGCCCTCCCCAAGGTCGACATCGTTGTCGAGACTGACGTTGTCTACTACACTGTCACCCAAGAAGTCGTCCAGACCGTCCCCGCCGGGAACCATCTCAATGCCAACCTCCACCTGGCTCAGACTTCAGTGACGCCAACCACCTCCACCGTCATCCCAGTGGTTACGGTCACTATTGACGCCGACCTTGCCCCGGCCCCGGCCACCACCAGCACCAGCTCCAAGGTTGCTACTCCATCGGCTCCTGCACAAGATGCTTCTGCTGCTAAGCCCTCCGACCTGGCCAGCACTGCCGTTTATCACCACAACATCCACCGCTCAAACAACTCTGCGCCTGCAATGACTTGGGGTAGCACCTACGCCGGCTATGCCGCAACTGTTGCTGCGTCTTGCAAGTTTGCGCATGACCTGTGAGTATTCCTTTCTGCTGCCGACTCTGATGTACGTAGTAGTACTGGATTCTTGAGCTAATTATCGACAGTACCCCCGGCGGCGGTGGTTACGGTCAAAACATTGCCATGTATGCATCTACTGATGCTTCCTCCTTGACAGAGGAGACTGTCATTGCCCAGGCCATCACGGAAATGTGGTACAACGGCGAGCTCGATCTTTACCCTTCCAGTGCCTACGGTCAGGCCAACCCTGACTTCGCCGACTTCGAGGCATGGGGTCACTACTCTCAGATCGTCTGGGTCGGCTCCACACAGGTCGGCTGTGCTGCCCAGTACTGTGCCCCTGGCAAGATGAACCCTAGCATGGGTGCTTGGTACAGCGTCTGCAACTACTTCCCTGCCGGTATATTCCTAACCTCCCTCCAATTCTTTGACAAGGCGACTAACAGATACCAGGAAACGTCAACGGTGCTTATGGCAAGAACGTGTTGCCGCCCATCAAGCAGGCCACTGTCAACGTCAATGTCGCGGCTTAAGTGATGAACTTCGATGAGCCATGACTTCATGCGTTAGACGGGGTTCCGGTCTTTGCATTCCTGCTTGCAAGCACGATATCCTCTTGGACAATTTGCGCTTCATTATGGGTCTTTCTTTGAGCACAATAGGGCAAACGCGCAATTGATAGTTTTCACTGTGCCGCATCTCCAAGAGTCTGGTTTGTGAAGGAAGTGCTTCCACGTGGCGGATGTTCATTTTGCATAATCTCGTCACTGCTTGATGATTTCGCCAGGACATGATAGATGCCGCATATGAGAGCGACACGGGGTGGGGAAAAAAACTTTCTGGAGGACACTTGCATCTGCCTTCTTTTGACTTCTTTGGCGACGGGATCCCACATCTGGCTCTAATATGTCATGTTTGCGCTTGGAACACAGTGCCTCATGCGGTTCTGACCGTCGCCCCCAGTTTAGCTCTTCAGAATTAGAATTCATGTACATGATTTCTGCAGATGCCTCGATCACTGATATTGTTCACACTCCACCCGTGGTTCTGCTGACTGAGCGGCGAGTCTGGCGGTCCCTTTCCGCAATCAGTTTCTTTGTCCAGATGCGTATTGGGACCGGCATGTGCTTCACGAATCACAGCGGTATTCCAGCGCCAGAGGTGGCTGTAATTGGCTGCTGTTGCCTCTGACATACCAGACAATTGACGTGATGTGGGTAAAGTTCGTGCCAAGAGAACGGTCGTTCCCGAAGGATTGAGGCTCAAAACTTTAGCTTTACCCGAGCTTTGCGTGGAGATCGTCACCCACCTTTTGCCATTTCGAGACACTAAACTGTATATCAGGCGTAAAAGAGTTGTGTGATGGCTACAGTATGGGTGTTGTTTCCCTGAGGCCACATGTAATCAAGGAATTTGTCAGCCCTCCTGTTGAGATTTCGTGATGGGTCTTCTAGCTGAATGCACATGTGGTGGTGTGCTGCCCTGCTATTCGACTAGTGTTCAAGGCATACTACACGAAGATCGATGACTGCCTTAGCACTGGGGGTCATCTCTCATGCATCCAATTGTTGGAGGCATTGGCAGCAAGCAGGGAGACAGGCTGTCAGTTTCCAAGCCGCCGCCACCCCTTCACACCCCTTGAACTGGCTTCCGGTGGACGACTTTTGAGCCATGATCCAGGGGCCAAGAAATGCTTTGCATGTAGCCCCGACTCTTCGCCTCGTGGTATTGGGGGCCAGTGCGTCCGTCACTTCAGGTTCTGGTCATTGCCATTTGCGAGAATTGGATGCTCAAACACCTCAGCCTTGATCTTCGGCAACGGTCATCTGGTACCAAAGAATTGAAGAGATGCTTCACAGGAGGGGCCACAAACCCTCACCTCCCTCTGCCCCTGGGACGGGGCGGACCAGCTCTCACTCTTCGCACAGCGAGTGAGGCCCCCCCTCCCAGCCTGCAAGCACATGCTCAAAGCCCCTCCGCTCCTACTCATGGGCGAAGGTCATGGGCCGCCATGAGGCCAGGTTGACGACTTCTTGCCGTCAAGATACCTATCCGGACGGCTAGCCGGCCCAAAGCATGGACGCCTTGACAGCCCATTCGTCAGCGGAAGGCGGTCCGCGGCTCGAGGATCCGGGTAGACGAGGCTTCTATCGGCGAGGGTCATCGCGATGCATCCCTCTTGCCTTTGTGCCACGGGCGGAGAAAGAGGGACGTTTCGTCACTGCGAGCGGGGATGCCGCGCATGACTCTGACGCCGATCGCGACGGTGCTCGTAGGAGGTGGCTGATGCACAGCTAGTCTGCCTCTGGGGCAACCTGCTCTGCACTCGTGAGTCTCACCGGGGTAAAGCGTTGAGCTGGGCGACCTGGCGATGTGACAGCTACCACGGCAAAGTAAACAAGCAGGTGCGCTTTGACATCCGCAGTTTGAGTCGAAGGCGCGACGGGCGACGAGGCTAGTGGCGAGCGGTTATAGCTCTGTCGAGGGTCATGCACGATATAACCGTCTCAACGTGAATAAATTCCCTGTCAGTTTGCTCAGAGACCCGTCGAGGATTCCTCCCTTTTTCTGCTCCTCTCTCTGCATACTCCCAGAAGTCTCTGAATCCGGATTCTCCCTACTTTTTCACTGAAAGTCGCATCGTCAGCAAACCAAGCCAGCCGGTCAATATGAAGATCAACACCGCCACACTCGCCCTGCTGGCAACAACTGCCGCCGCCGTGCCCATGAGCGCAGCCGACATGATCGGCAGGCAGGTTACCACGGTGGAAACAACGACAACCTCAAGCAAGACCGTTGCCTCCGCGTCCCCAAACGGCCCGGGGGAGGAGGACAAAGCTGAAGCTTGCATTATGCCCAACGGCTGCAGAGACGAGGACAAGCACGATGGCGACGCTTGGCACCCGCGCACGACGCCCACCCCGCCCCCGAAGGTCACCCCCCACGACGGCAAGATATGGAGCTGGCTGGTTCCGACCGCGACATCCAGTGCCACAGGTGTCTTCTCCGTCGTTCCGGAGGCGGAGCCGACGAGCGCTTAGGATGTAGAGCGATGTGATATCGGCGCTCAATTGGCGTCTCGTGACACTCCTCCACCATGGCGAGGATGCGGTTGAATAAGCCGAGAGGATGGGGTGAGGACGGGTCGAATATCGAAGACGAGTCGGGGCGGCCTCGGACGGGTGTTGACCAATTATGTGGACTGGACATATGCATTCTTCGGTTCTTTCACCCCGACGGAATGTCCATGTCAGGTAATGTGTGTGGAGGGGGGGGGGGGGGAGGAATGCTCATAATGTATCTGACGACGGCCGTTCATGCCGTGTAATTACGCTCCTTAATGTAATATGAAAATGTTGATTTGAGAAATACTGTCCTCGGCCTGTGTAATTTTGCCTTCCTGGCACGGTGATCGATGACGTCTCGGGGTGCTCACTTCGGGCCTATGAGGCTGTTAGTTGAGTCAAGACAGAAGGGGACTGATGGGGGCATGAAGCGCTTACTCCGGCCGTAAACAAGACCAGTTGAGGCTAAGAAGCTCCGGGCGTAGACGGGTGATGTACTGGTGCATATGGTGAATATAGGATCATGGGCCACTGATCGATCGACTCAGGAAGCTCCATAGCCTGAGAGTCGATGCCTGACCACCATCTCCCCCTGACTCAGGTTGTAGGCGTTGAAGCTGGTAGTTCCGCGCCCGCAGACATGTCAAACATGTCACCAAAGAAATACCCACTCGACCACCGAGAGTGCCGCGAGAAGACACACAAGAACGCGTGGGGCCACAGGACAATTAGTTCCATTTGCCATCATCCCATGCTAGGATGCTTACCCTACCTGAATGCCTCTGGGGGTATAGATAACTGTAACCTATTTCCTGATCCCAAGTCTATAGTCGTCGAAAACAAACACGCACGGAAAGAGAGACGAGGCTGTTCCTCTCTCAGATTCATCATGAAAAAATCCCCGCCCTGTGTCCATAGCCTTCCTTCAACCAGTCCTTTTTTCGACGTGGGATTTGAACAATCGCACATGTTTTTCTCCGTATGAAACCAAAAGATATCTAAACTCCGTCGCGCCAACTTTTGCTCGTGTCGTGGTTATGTACGAAGAGAATGACACCGCCAGGGTATCTCTGAATTTGAGGGTCTGTAATTCGTTCCATGGGTCTCGTCTGCGCTCTGAAAAGTTCGTCCAAGGTCTTGGTAAGCACAGTAAGCTAAATGACTTTGCAGTCCGCGACGGCAGGCCAACACGCCATTTAGGGCAGAACGGGTGGGGAGACCGGGTTTCGCGGCCCCGCTGGCTCAGTCGATCTGCTTCTCGCAGCCGATGCGGTTCAGCAGCTCCTTGCGGTCACTGTGTCCGGGAAGGCTGACAGCGGTGGTGTTGGAGGTCGTCCTCTTGACACCACTTCGTCGCTCCCAAATTTTCAAATCAATCTCCTCAACTCCGACATCCTCCTCCATTGCCTGAGCCTCCTCGTACACGAACTCTTCCTCCTCTTCCTCGTCACCCTCGTCATCGCTGCGGGTGTCGTCCGCGCCAGCACCTCTGATGACACGCACTGCCACGTTGACAATCATTGCGAACCAGACGATGCAGATGGTCTGCAAGCTGAGCAGAAGCGTCAAGAATGTCCATCTGATTGTGTCATTGTGGCACAACAGCCCGTCAGACGCCAGGAACGGCTGCAGGTAGAAACTGTAGCCTTCAGGCTGCTCAAACGGTCCCTGAAGGTTGTCTTGGTTGCCTTTGAAGCATCCGTAGGTCATCGTGTAAGGCACGTGCTCGTAGATGGACCAGCAGACCATGTTCATAAAGATGTGACGGCAGACGAACCATGCCAGCATAAACAGCCCAAAACCGACGTCGCAGGCGTTGGTGAAGCCCATATATTTGAGGCACTTAGCACCCTGTTGGACCTTGTCAGTGGGCGAGATCACGAAAGCCATTATTGAATGAAAGGCCCACGACCTTGCGGGGACTTACCGAGAGGAGAATGTCCCCAAGATCGAACAGCACCAGAATCAGGTTGCCCACGGCGTTGTGGTGGTATCGGTATGACCCGACAATCAGTGCAATAGTAATGAAGTGGTGAGACAGCATCTGCCAATGGTCCTTGCGACGTTCCTCAATGTTGATGACGAAGATCTGCTGTAGCCAGAAACCTAACTGAGCAAGAATGTAGGTCTTGTGCAAGCCACCAAGCTCACGGTTTGGCCAGGTCGCCCATAGCTGCTTGAGATTCAACCAGTAGGGAGACGTGTAGTAGATGTACTGCAGAAGAGTGTCCAGTCAGTATGCGATGCCATGCGTTTGCAGCCATGAGGTACAAGATCCTCACGGATTGCACAAAGGCGAAAGATGTACATACGAAGCCAAGAGACCAGAACGTGGTGCAGTATAGGACTAGCCAGGCCTGCTCGGCAAAGCGAGTGACCTCCTTCTTCTTGCTGATGCCCATGTGCTTGGCGAACGGAGCCAGGGCATACTCCATTGTCGCGGCTCGCAGGCCGGTGAGGAGGACAACGGCGAAGGCGACAAAGTAGGAGTCGTCGAAGCCAGCGCCATACTTTCCAGAATTCGCATTGTAGTATTGAAGGCGAACGAATTTGGCCGTGTAGGACTGTGACTTGGGCAGCAGATAGTGGGCGCAAAACAGAAGCGCAAGAAGGTTGAATGAGAAGCCTGCGACGAAGACGCATCAGCAAGTAAACGAGTCTTGCGAAGTGCTCATTTTCGGCGGACAGTTGTCGCAAAGCCACAGGAAGAGACATGCAGCATGCAGTGTAATGTCCCGATGGAGGGCGGTGTGGCGCGCACAACTTTGGAGAAGTCGTGTTTTGCCGTGCTGCTGTTGGGGATGGGTAGAGGGGGGTACACGAGGAGGAAATGCAAACGGGAGGCATACCGATCTGGTTCTCGACAAACCAGCGGGCCAATTGCTTAGAAGGCCCGTCTCCTTTCCTCTTAAGACGTCTGACGAGGACAGTGTGGTTGACTGTTTGCCTGTAGAGCGGCCCATTCATGGCCTCCTTCTTGCCAGAGTAATTGCGCTTCAGGGAGGAGGAGGTCGGGCGAGGAGAGTCGGAGCTTGGGACCCTGAGGCCCTCAGTGCCGGCGCCGTTGGCGGGTTCGGAAGACATTATGGGCACTTGTTGAGGATGTGGCTGCCCAATTGACAGAGTACAGTGGTCAGCAGCAGGATGGAGGTTGGTTGTAGGAGGTAGGAGGCAGCAATGCGCTGCGACCAGAGGGTCGTGGCCGTGGTCCTGGTCGAAGCCGTGCCGAGTCGTGTCCGCGTCGAAGCTCGCAGCACGTGGAGCACAGGGCAGAGGAGGGTAGAGGGGCCAGCGACAGTAAGCTACGGTAGCCACAGGCTGTGCAACGACTGACTGGCAGGCAGCGAGCGGGACAAGAGGGCGAGGATGGCTCGATTCGCTTGGGTTGGTCTGGTCACAGGGCTCGCACAGAGGCTCGATGAACACTCTGGGGTCGTCGGTCACCAAGAACGGACGAGTGGTCGAGTGGGAACAGAGGGAGAGAGTTGTTCGCGGGCGGGCGAGTGCACAGCGACTGACTGAGAAGGGACAACAGGGACAGGATCTCAAAAGTGTTGATATTGGAGCAATGGCCAAGGCAGATTGCGCCAGCTGCTGGAGGGACCCTGGCCTCGAATTTTCGAGTCCTGAGGTTGGACCAACCAGCCGGCCAGCCTTCCCAGCTTTCCTGGACCACCCCTGTCAAGGTGGTGTCTCGCCTCGCATGGGGCGCGTCTACCCAGCTACCCAGCTTCCCACAGCACTGCTTGCCGTGACCTCTGCTCTGCTCTTGGTGGTGCCCTGCCAGGTGCGGGTGCCGCGGACGGGGCCTGGCCTCTGCCGGGAGTTGGCAGCTAGGGCACCGGGCAGGAAGGCGGTGAGCCCTGAAGGGGCGGAGATGGGCTCTGAAACTTGCCTGTTGAGGGCAAGCTCAGTGAAGGGTTCAGCGGGGGAGGACGGCGCCCCACCTACGCCGCCCTCTGTTGCGTGAGCAATCAATTAGGATACTGTAATCCGCGCCGAATCCATTCGCTAATGGGCAATCATAAATGTTGAGAGTTTGATGGTTCCCTATCAAACCGCACGCCCCACTCCAGAGACGACCCCATCGGCAGAATTCTTAGACGCGCGGAGACGGAGACAGAGCGGAAAAGGAGGCTGGTCGTACTGCTGCTGTCAGGCAGTACGCGACGCAATCGAGCAGGTACCACTCAATGCGTGCTCCCTCCCACCGTCACAGCTCTCCCCGAACGGCTGCGGCTCTAGGTCACCAAACCTGCTTCCCTCACCACGAACCCCGGATTTCACTGCCAGACAGGGCCGAAGCAGCATTGACGGCCGAGCTCGCAGGATGATCTTGCAGAGCAGCCCATCCTCTGCGCCAATGGAGGCATTGGGCTCTTCAAAATGCGAAAGCGTGCCCAATTACGGCTGCATCTGCTGCTGCACCACCTCCCTCTTGGCTGCAGATCTCGTTTTCCCTTAAAAGGCTCGTTTCCCTGCACACTGCGACCCTGTGCAAAAATCTCCCCTTCCCCTCTCCTACCCCCCCTTTTGCAGCTCTTCCAAGCACCTCCTAGCCAGCCGTCACCTCGAAGATCTGGCCCAATTCGTGTTTGCTTGAAACGTTTCCGGGCTCGCTCAACCCATCTCTGAGGTACACAAGGTCTCATGCATCGGGTTGCCGGCCCTTTGATGGGGTATCCCTTCCTTCAGAAAGGCACACTTCTCTGAGATGGGCCAAGGTTTTCCCAATGCCTGCAAGCCCAGATTGTAGGGCCGAGCCAATTGCATGCAGCTAGAAATGTGCTAACAACCCCTAATGATGTACTGTGGTACAATCGACAAAAGGGATAAACACACTATTCTTGGCCTTCTCTGGATGCGTGCATGGCGAGTATTTGGTTTGATGCCGATAGTCCAAAGACTCAAATAAGCAGAGCAGCCCCTGCATGCCCGTCATGAAGTACCCGGGAGCAAAGATGGTCTTGGAGAGAATGTTTTTACGCCGCAACTCTCCCTACATATCTGTTCCATGCTTGTAAGAGTTGTGTGCATAGCCCTCCAAAATTTTCGGTACACTTGTAGTCTGTCTAGCCACATCTGCAACTCTCCAGTCAAGACGCGACGTGCTTCTAAAACGCTCTGAATACTGTGAATGAAGATTGCATAAAGGTATAAATTTAACAGACGTGAGCATCATCAGATGCTTATTTCCAAAGCTTGGCTCTTGACCAACTTGCTGATCATTTGTAAAAGTTGAGTTTCTTTCAGGCAAGATCATCAGTGTTCACATGTTGTCCTATCTAGGTGCGTGTTTATGCACTTGAAACAAATTGGTATCGAGCTCCGTAGACGCAAACATTCTGAGACCCAATAGCTTTTTTTTTTGAGACTTGCCTCACAGAGTTAATCATTTAATGTTTCAAAACTGGTACTGCCCCTCTACCCCATCATTGGTCTTTAACACAACGATTAGACGGCAGGTCTCAATGTGTTGTTCACATGGTATGGAGATTGCGATTCAACTGGCATCAGCAAACGATTATATCAAGATTGAGAAGTCTCAGAACTCCTACACTCCTGCGCAGTGTTATGGGCTTACAGCTGTCTTTTTGTTTTCTGTTGCTGGCTAGGCTGGGCCTTTGAATACAAGGGACTTTCCGAGGTGCGGCATAGTATCTTCTGGGGGCATGTTGCTTGCGACTAGCGGCAAATAACTTGGAAAGAGACAAATAACTATTTCCCGTCAACGGTCTAGACCTTTGACGAACGTGAGTTTGAGGCAGCGAAGGACTTAGACTTCAGTGTTGACACTGCAAGGCCACATGCTGTGGCCTGCGATTATTGAATCAAGTAGCTGCTTCTACGCTATTCCAGCACTGCTGGCAAACTCGCAGGATTTGTGCCAACTTCGAACTGTGGTCTTCCAGATGCGTGGTTGGGACAATTTTTTGAGTATGTATTCGCTTGCTTTTGAGAGTGTTTTCTGTGAAGATATTCCGAGATATGCATGGAGCTGAAGGCTGAGGCACGGGAGTGATACAGGGCAGGCTCTCATGTTGCCTTTGACAATTACGGCAGCAGCCAGCTCGGATTAAGGAAATTCAACACCCCAGTTACGTGTGAGAAGTGCATGAGCTCGATGTCTTATTTTGCCAGGGATTCTCATACCGCCGCGACACTGATATCCCCGCATGTGAGTGTCCAGTAACTCTGCATGCTGGCAAAGTGGCAGAGCAAGGCTGTGGACAATCCCGGGTTCAGCAAGCTATACAGTGCTAAGAAAACAAGTTTACATTAGCACGCTTCCACAAATTAGACAGACCGACCACGTTTCGACTGCCAACAAAGAAGAGACGGCTTTCGCCTACGGATGCTTAGTCACCCAGAGCGTGGCGGGAGGTCGCCCAGGCTGGCTAGGCAGACTAACAAATGGATTGCCATCGACCCGTTTCCCCACACTGATTAATGAGTGGCACCTAAGCGCAGCCTAGTCGACGGGAGCCGCATCATCTGCTCATCACCGATTACTTCTACAACCTTCTGTCGTGATTCACCTGACAACCTTCTCCCAGAGCTTATTATCCTCCCGCCCTGTCCTCAGCTTTCGCCTTGTTCCTCACCTAACCGACGACAAACACGTTCCCGACCGGAGCCTTCCCAACTTCTCTCCCCAGCGCTGCACGATTCCTCATCACAAGCACGACAGCGGAACCACCATGTCCAACGCGAAGTACACCCCGCCCCACAACAGGACCCGGACGACGTCCCGGCGGGTCCTGCATACAGCCAGGCGCCACCCTCCTACCAAGCCGCCGACGACGAGGCCCGGCTCTTCGCCGGCGAGGGCGTGCCGCGCTCCTCCGAGGACAACGTCCCCGATGACTTCAAGTTCGGCGGCTCCGTCGCCGAGGCGACCATCGACATCCGCAACCAGTTCGTCCGCAAGGTCTACACTATCCTGACGGTGCAGCTTCTGGCCACCGGCGCCGTGAGCACCATCAGCTTCGTGTCACCGGCCTACAAGGAATGGATCCAAGGGCATCCCGCGCTGGTCTTCATTTCGGTATGTCGGGCGCCTCTCTGGCCTCTCTGACCTCTCTGTATCAATATCATTTACTAACCGCCGGCCACGCCCACAGATGTTCGGCGCCATCGGCATGATGCTCCTGACCTACTGGAAGCGCCACTCGTACCCGACCAACCTGCTCTTCCTATCCGGCTTCACCCTCCTCGAGGCGTACACCATCTCCGTCGTCGTCTCCTTCTACAAGACCTCCATCGTCCTCAACGCCGTGCTCTTGACCGCGGGAATTTTCGTTTTTCTGACCGCCTTCGCCTGCCAGACGAAGTACGACTTCACGTCATGGATGCCCTACCTCTTCGGCGGGCTGTGGGGCCTCATTCTCTTCGGCTTCATGGCCGCCTTCTTCCCCTACAGCTCCACCGGCGAGCTCATCTACGGCGGCCTCGCAGCCTTGATTTTCAGCGGCTATATCCTCGTGGACACACAGCTCGTCATGCGCCATCACCATGTCGAGGAGGAGATCGCCGCGGCCATCAGCTTGTACCTCGACATTATCAACCTGTTCCTGGCCATCCTGCGCATCTTGAACAGCCAGCAGAATAACTAAGCGGGTCATGGAATGTCACTACGCGGTGCGAAGAATGGGAAAACCTTGTAGGCTACGTTGCCATGCCACAGAAGGGACGGAGGATGGGGTGGAATTTGCAATAGTTCCTGGCTATTTCATTTCTTTTGAGCTGAGCGACTGTTTGCCGCGATATCCTTAATCACGCATGAGTCTGGCATGCCGTCCACAGCTCTCCCGCTTCAGAAACGCGGTCTCTTTTACAGATGGTTAACGGATTGGCGGATGATGGGGGTTCTCTGGCGTTGGGATTGCAAGGGCTTTCAGGGTTAACCTTTCTTACACATTTTCATTCCAATCAATTTTAATTTCGAACCTTTGATAATCAGGAGAAGGAATCATATTGTATGCGTAGATGCCATTCAACAAGGGGTGGGCACGTAACTGCCTTAAATATGCTACACGGGTTGCCACCTGTGTGGCCCCCAGTTGTGCAGACTCCCCAGCCGACCACATGAACATGTTCGCAGTTGAAAGGCTGTGCACAGTTCACTTGCTGCACACTGTGTCTGCAAGGCTCTCAGTCAAATATTACATTGGAGAAAGCTTTGGCGCTACTCTGGGACTCGCCCCTTTACCAACTGTTCTCCCTTGATAGCCTCAGATGCCAAACAGTTTGCTTAGTCTCTGACAGGCAAGGCGAAGCTTCTGCACGTTAGCAAGGCCTCATGTCACCGGGCCACATCACCATAGTCCATGGAAGAAACATGAATTTAGGTTATCTGCATTAGAAGTCCTCTACTAGAAATAAGTCGTGTTGGGAAAAATACCAAACGTCCTTGGAAATTGGCCGGCTCCCCAAGTGATGAGCCGACACAGCAAAGAAAGAAGACGTATGGAAAAATATGCAGCAAGTCCTCTCTGCCAACCTCTCATCCTTGTCTTTCATCTTTAAAAGCGTTTCTGGAGACACCAAAGCAGATGGTGCGGGGATATCATTATGGGGGAGACGAGCACCATCTGTTTGAGATCCGGCGGCCAGACCCAAGTGAGTCGCCACCCCATGACTCCGATCTGGCCTTGTCAACATAGGTCGGTCTTTGTCATCAACTTCATATTCGCTCGCGAAAGACTGCCGATCAATCAAAGGAAATGCGCGCCGAAGTGGCGAGGTCGCGTCTTGCCGTAGCAGTTCCCAGTGAGCTCAACCACCGGGCACAGAAGAATCGAATCAAGCCTCGGCGTCGCCGTTGGCATCGGGAACCGGTGTTCCTGAAGATCCGGCTTGCTCTCGTTGCATGCGAGCCTCGATCTCGCGGAGCTGAGACTCCCGGGCAAGGAGTTCCTGGCGCTTCTCGTTGATCTCGCGCTGGACCTTGATCTCGATCTCGCGCAGCTTCTCCTCCTCGCGGCGGAGCTGCTCCTCCTTGAGACGGACGGACTGGGAAGCCAGGTCCTCGGGGTTCATTGAAGAGTCGCTGTGACATAGTTAGCAGATGGCTCCTGCATGCAAGACAACATAGGGAGACAAACACTCCAGCACCACCCTCCACGCTCTTGGACAGCTTCTCGGTACGGTAGTTCTCGTAGAGGAAGTCGTGGGTGATCTCCTTCAGGTCGGCAAGATGGCTGTGCAGCAATGCGGATCGAATGGCGAGGAAGTCCGAGTGGCGAGGGTTGTCAACCTCCACAACACCCCATGGGTACTGACGGGCCCGGACCGTGCGGCCACCGATCTCAACTGCATCCTCCGACCCGACAATAGCGAATGGCATGAGGCCTCGAAGCTCGGCGTTCTCCTCGACCGTGTCCTCGTCGTCCTCCTCGATGTCGTATGGGAAGTTGTAGACCGGGATACGGTAGTGCTCGATGTCCTCCATGACCAGCTTCTTCGATTCGGCCAGCTCGCCGGGGGTCAGGGAGTCTGCGCGACCGATGACGGGGATGACGTTGACGCGAGGCGCCAGGCGCTTCATCAGCTCGATATCCAGCTCGCGGAGACTAGACATGCTGTTAGTGAACGTCCACAAGGGCGATTTGCAGGCGGTAAGGGACATACCCATGGCCGGTGGGGGTGATGAAGTAGAGCAGGGCGTGAACTCGGTTGTCTCTGAAGCGAGGGTTACGCTTGATACGCGACTCCTCGGCTAGAATGTCGTCGTATTGTCTCTCGAGGTACCCAACAATTTCAGAGAAACTGCGAGTCGGTAATGTTAGCATTGGATGGCCAGACTGGAAGCGCGACGGCGTGGATCGTACCTGGCCTCGTTGTCGACTTGGTCACCAAAACCAGGGGTATCAACAATGGTGAGGGAGATCCGCGTGCCCTCCTCATCGAGCTCGAGCTCTGCACCGCCAGTCAGTTACCAGTTGTTCTCTACAGGGTGGAGCTCATGCTTATCCGTACCAACTGTCATGGGCTTGATCTTGACGCCGTCCTCGACATGGGCGCCGTTGGGGTCATCGGAGTCCTTGTGGCCGATCACAGACTTTCCGCAGAGAGTGTTGACGAAGGTGGTTCTGCCTGGGAATCACCGAGAAGCTGTCAGCAAACGAGTTGCATCTATCGCAGGGAGCTAGGCTGGCATAAGGGCGCAGCGTTGCGCGGCATGAACTCACCAGTACCTGATGCTCCGCAGACCATCAAACAGAACTGGATTCCCTTCTTCACGTTCTTCTTGCGGCGGATCATCTTCTGTTGATCAGGAACTGGTCAGCAATGCAACCCGGCAGCAACAATTGATTCGACGCGACACGGCGAGCTGTTGGCTGTGCCGGACGCCGCGAGCGACACGAAACGGCAGACCGGCTCGTGATGCACAGAGGAGGTGACAGCAAACGTACGGCAGGGGAAGACATGATTGTTGACGGAGTTCAGGAAACCCTGAGCACAATGCAACTGCGAGTTGTTTGGTCGGTGTCGATTCCTGCTCTATCGAAAGGCAAGAGAATTGGATGGATGGAATGTCGCGTGAAGAGGCTCTCGAAGTTGTTGGTGTTGTGCCAGACCTCTGCGTTGCTCTTGTTGGAAAGGGGGAATGGTTGAAGGGTGCCAAGGGTCGGGACACCACTGTCAATGGGTGGAGCAACCAGCGCAATTTCACAAATTACAACCACTGGAGGAACAGCTCTCTCTCAGGGGAGATTCCCAGAGCTGCAATTCAGGGGATCCTCCTGCCTTCCCCAGTTGAGGCGCTAGTCCCACTGTGGACTAGCCTCCAAGGTGCAGAGGCCCAGGTGCTCTGAGGACCTGGGCAGGCTGGTAGGTACCGAGGTACTTCACTCAACTGGTCTCCACGGCGGGTGCCAGCTGGCAGCGTCACGGTGAGTGGATCATCTGACCTCCCGCCTCAGACTACAGACTTACTAGACTACCTACTAGATATATGCGGACTTACACGACGAACCTCTCAGGATCAAAACCAAGCATAGCTATTTTTCAGTATCTATAGAGAGTATGGCCTGCGAGATGTCCTATGCTTTGCTAATCTGCCCCATATTTTGACCTGTCAATTCAGGCTCCTGGCAATTTGGAGCGGCCTGCTATAGACTCTCGCATTGTTCCTGTCAGCTTGTTCATCGAAGGCCTTTGGTCTCACAGCAACAGACCGGCCATTCACGATACCTCGTCCTCGCACCACCGTCCTCGCAGGTCCCGCTTTAACGACATCACTCCCGACAACATGGTTGCCGTAGAATTTAAAGGCTAGGCACCTCTCTTTGTTTTGCACCTCGTTTTCTTGTTTCCTGGAGGGACTCGTCTCCCTGCCCACCAACCAACCTCTTGACTAGGATACCTAAACAATTACACCCTTTGTGGTGAACTCGAGTCTGAATCACTTCCAAACAACCTCGACAAGACACAAAGCACAACATCAGCCTCGATCCACCAAGATGGATACCCGACCCAAGATAGAGCCAGACAGGCCTACCCGCGTGCTGTCCGCGAATTTCAGCGACTCTGGCCTCCACTTCACGGTCGGACTCGAGGATGGCTTCCTTGGTGAGTCTTGGCACGAGACCTATGTCCCAACTTCTCATGATAGCTGACGCTAGGCAGTCGTTCACGCTGACTCCGGTCAGTTGTCCCTCACTCAAGGTATGTGAAACTCTGAGATGCTGAGGAATCTGAAGTCCCGAAGACTGACATTCCGCCAGACCTCGCAGGAGGCATAGGCCTTGCCCAGATGCTTGGTCAGACGAACATCATCGCTCTGGTCGGTGGGGGCCGCATGCCAAAGTTCGCCGCCAACAAGGTAGGTCGTTACATGGTCCCAGACTGTTCTCATTCATGCTCACAGATACTCACCAGGTCTTCCTGTGGGAGGTCATCAAGAAGAAGCCCGTCTCCTCCATCAGTGTCAAGACCCCCGTCCGTGCCGTTCGCATCAACCGAGAGAAAGTTATCGTTGTCCTCCAAAACAGTGTTGAGTTTCATGCGCCATGGAACAAGCCGAAGGACATGCAGAAGGTGGCAGTCTATGAGACTGCCGACAATCTTCACGGCTTGATCTGCATGTCGTCAAAGCACATCGCCTTCCCCGGCCCCACCGCTGGACACGTGCGACTTGTTGAGCTGGCCACGGACAACGTGAGCATCATCCCAGCTCATTCCACTGCGCTGAGGGCCATGGCCTTTAGTGAGAAGGGCGATATGCTCGCCACTGCGAGTGACAAGGTAGGCTCCCCTTTCCCATTCCAGTGTATCACGTTATACAAGTGCAGGAATCTTATGCGTACCGCTCTAGGGAACCCTGATCCGCATTTGGCACACTCGAAACTGTGCCCGCATCTGCGAGCTTCGCCGTGGCATGGACAGCGCGATCATCTTCTCGCTGGGATTCAGCAGGCTGGGTAATATCCTTGCCTGTACCTCTGACAAGGGCACCCTCCACGTGTTCGACGTCCCCTCCCAGGAGAACCTGAAAGATCTCCAGTCGCCATCGAGCCCGATCAGCCTCACTTTCCCAGCCAGCCGCCCTAGTGCTACGGCTGCAGCTGTCGAGGAGGGCAGGGGAAAATGGGGTCTTCTGGGAAAGATCCCCTTCATGCCGCGGGCTTTCTCGGACCAGTATTCCTTCGCGTCCGCCCCGTTCGAGATCGGCGATGAGCCCACCAGTGGCGTCCCCGCCTTTTCGGATGTCGCAAGCCTCGGTACTACGAGGCCCCCGAAGGGTATCTTGGCGTGGACCGACGAGGACACCATCATTGTCGTTGGTGCGGGCATCGATGCTCGTTGGGAGAAGTTCAAGGTGGAGCTGGATGACGACGGTCGCCGCCGTGTTCGCCGCGAGGGCTGGAAGCGTTACTACAGAGACATGTAGGACGAGATCTGCTGAACGCTTCAGGAACCCAAGGCGGCTCAAGGAAATCGGATTACGACACCCTTGCATGGGTTGACGAGGGCGTATCGAGAATAATAACCAGTGGAACATGGGGTTAGCCTGCTCGAGGTGGATGTGGAATAGGCCCTGGATGTTTTCGGTCTGGTTTTACGGCGTTTGATGGTTACATTCACATGAGGTCGAGCATAATGAACTGGCTCTGCACAGGTAAAACAGGACTGGCAATCAGAGCAGCTCGGTAGCCTACATGCTTTGGAGATACTGGGAAGCAGTAAATGCCCCACTCTCACATAAATAATTCAATGATTCAATGATACTGCATCTCCGTGTTGCCTTCAAGGTGATCTACTCCTATCTCTGTGCCGATGACTTCGGTCTCGGTCGGAGGTCCGATGCCTGCGGTTGCTGTGGTCTTCGGAGCCCTCACGATCATGCCGCGGACGTTCCCTGTCGCGGTCCCGCTTCCTTTCGCGGCCGTCGCGATCTCTATCACGCCTGTCATCGCGCTCCCGTGAGTCGCGGCGCCGCCTCTCGCGGCGGTGGTCATCCTCGTCCGCATCCTTCAAATTAAGGGCATCGTCGCGCCTCGATCGCTCCCTGCGGTCCTCGTCTTCCTCGCCGTGCCTCCTGCGCCTGCGCCTGTGCTGGTCTCCGTCGTCCTCGCTGTCGTCCCTCCGAGACCTGTGCGACCGGTGATGCCGGCCAGTGTGCCTGTCGCCGCCGTCCCTCTTCTTCCTCGATGCCCGGCGCAGCGCGTCCTCGACTTCCTTCTTCTTCTCCTCGACCAGGAAGGCCTTCATGGGGTCGTCGTCGTCGTGGTCCTGCTCCAGAAGCATGAGCTCCCGCTCCTCCTTCAGCATCGGCCGATGCCGATTCCTCGCGGCCGCCTCGTCGTCGCTCCCCTCGCCCATATCTGTGTCGTCGTCCCCGCCGCCGCCCTTGGCGAGCTTCTCCCGCCTCTGCAGCGTCTCCCAGTCGACGCGGCACTCGTCCACGTCCTCGTCGTCCCGCGGCTTGTACCTCGCGTGGTCGACGCTGACCATGCGGCCGTTGATGGTCGCGCCGCCCAGGTTGTCCACGGCGAGGTCCGTGCTGCGCTGGTCCTCGTACTTGAGCCAGCCGAAGCCGCGCGACTTGCCCGTCTCCTTGTCGCGGGCGAGCTTGAGGAAGGTCGGCTCGCCGAACTGCGAGAAGATGGTGATGACGTCGCCCTCGCTGAGCTCGTAGGGGAGCCCGCCGAAGTAGACGAAGGCCGTGTCGCGGTAGTCGACATGCCAGGAGGCGCTGGGGGAGCTGTCCGCGGGTTGCATCCGTTAGCTTGTGCTGTTGGAGAGGGCCTGTGTTCAATATTTCTGAGTTGCGGGGGGCTGTACGCACATTCCCTGCTCGATCTCCCTCTTGTTGAGCTCCTGGATCGCTCGTATCTTGTTCATGGTGGCTGGCGGCGAGGTTGCGCTCCTCCTCGCACTCGAGTTGAGGAAGTATGGAGTGGTCGCGAGGCTGGGCGAATTTTGGGTGACGTCTGTAAGGCTGAAGGCCCAGAAGTGGCGCCGGTACTTAGTGCAAGGATCCCCTTCCGCAGAGCAAGCTGACCTGCAATTCGTCTTGATTCACTTGTATTTCAGAAAAGGAAACGATGATAATAACCGCAACAACTCAATTCTTGGTAACTTGATACCTTGTATTGTCCAAGCAAGCTTCGTCCCCGTAGTATTAGGTAGATTCGTAGACGGTCTTCTCCCGTCAAACGACACGGACTTGCATGTGGTTTGGAGAGAATACATGCATCTTGGGTGCAAGAATTCCGATGTCTGCAATCTTGACTTGAATGAATGTTCCTCATGTTCTGCTCGTTCGCAACTACACACTGATGGCGGCAATCTCCATAACAGAGCTCTTGTCTCACTGCTGTGTACAGGCAGTTCATATACCAAAGGACTCAGGAGATCAGGAAAGATGTACCAAGTACAAACAATGCTCATCCCGTGTTGTGTTCCAGGGCCGCCTAGAGAAGGCCATCCCAAAGATGATTGTACTGTAGGGAGCATGACCAGGTCCCAGGACAATGTCTGGGACCGTATACGGATACGCTATTGGCAGCTGGGGCCAACTGTGTCACAGCTGCAGGCACCCTGTTCGGCCAAGACCTCCAATTCGCGGTGCTACAGCAGGTGGGATCTTTGAGCCATCCAAAAGCCCCCTGCATGGAATGATGCAAGGGGCCCCCTGATGACAGGCCGGAGACTCTGATTCAGTAAACAACTTGGACCTCTGGGTGACGCCTGCTGCTAGTGGGACAAGAGTTCCAGCACAGCTCCCCAAAACGTCACCAGCACAAGATATCCAACACATCTCAAGACGACTCCCAATGCGATCCGGCACACCTGTCCCAACGCACCCACTGCAGTGAACGGCTCCAACGCGCCCAAACCTGCCCGGCTTCCCCAACGGCTAGGGAGCTTGCCTCGTCTACACCGCATCGCGTATGCCAACACGCCCTGCGATGAGCGGCGACAGCGCGCATATCTGAGGTTCTTGCGACGGATCAAGGAGGAGCAATATGGCGTCGAATTCCAACCGCTTCTCAACCTACACGACTGCCTCTGGCGGCTCCGAGAGCAAGAATGGCGAGCCAAAGAAGGATATGTGGAGCTCTATGCTCGACTCCGTTGCCAGCGGGAAGCGATTGCCCGAGAGGAACCTTCTCGTCATGGGTACGCCGGCGAGACTCCCACAAGACCTGTGCACGCCCGGCGCGCGCTGACCATTTCTGTGACTGCCAGGCGGAACCGTCGAGTCGCAACGCGAATTCATAGAGTCCCTCTCCAACAACGAGCTGCGGCGGAACTACGACCGCCAGAACAAAATCCCTCCCGTGGCCAACCAGTTTGCGCTCGGCTATACATACTATGACCTGCTCGATGCAGACCATGAAGGTATGCGGCCCGTCCCTCAGGCTCGACCAAGCGGGTCAATCGCTGACATGACACAGACATACTGGCCCGTATCTCCACGTATCTCCTGACCAGTCCCTCGCCTTCCTTCGCCTCGCTCATAAAGCCACTCCTCACTCCGCAATCGATACCGAACACGCTGTTGGTCGTCCTCCTAGACTGGTCGGAACCATGGTCCTGGGTGAGGCAGCTCAGAGAATGGATGCTGCTCCTGCGGACTGTCCTGCTTGCACTGCCGGATGAGAGCAAGATAGCCATGGAGGAAGGGATGAGCTTGTGGAAAGAGAGGGGCCGCGGCGGCTCTCTGAACCTCGACGGCACAACGGCAACGGCGGCCAGCGAGGGCGATGTGTCATTACCGCTAGGCCCAGGTGAATGGGAGGAACCTCTAGGCCTACCCCTCTGTGTCGTGTGCCAGAACGTGAGTCTTCCTTTCGTCTCAGCCGGTTGTAAAAGGTCTAACACACCAGCAGTCCGAGAAGATGGAGTACTTGGAGAAGACGCAGAGCTGGAAGGAGGAAGAATTTGATGTCGTGCTCCAGTTCATGCGGACGATACTGCTCAGGCGTAAGCAACTCCCTTTGACCGGCAGTGCCCGCACGTGCTAACAGAATGACAAGACGGCGCATCACTCATCTACACTACGCCTTCCGTGCCATCCCAGCTACCAACGCTTGTCCACTCCAGTCTTGGCATACATTCGCTTCTAAAGAAGCAGCCCCTGAAGCCCAACGTTATCGACAGAGACAAGGTCGCCGTGCCTCCGAACTGGGACTCTTGGGGCAAAATCAGAGTTCTACGTGAGGGTTTTGACGTCGAAGCTGTGAGTGAGGGATGGTCTATTGATTTGGAGACCAAGTTCCCTCCCCCAGGCAGGAACCAGGCTATTGAGAATGGAGAAGCGAACGGTGATGACTACGACATAGACGGCTATGAGATCACACCTGGCTCGGCAGTGACGACGTTTGAGGAATCGATCAGGAACCCAACTCTTGATGCTCTGCAGATGGCCGGACGAGACACACACTCAACGAAACTGGAAGTAGAGACGATGGACACACAGGACTTCCTCGCATCTCAAACCCAGAGACTGGAAACCTTCAAGCAAAAGATGGAGGAGGAGAACCAAAGCAATGACACCAAGAATGCAAAGAAGCCCGCCAAGGTTGACGAAGACGGTCGCCAGGTCAATGTCAGCGACCATATCGGACCGGTGCAATTCAACGTCGGTGGCATCCAGGTTGATGCCGACGACATGATGAAGCGCCTACAGGTATGTGGATCTCGGTGGAAACAGCAGCTGCTTCAAGTCTACCGATAGCTAATACGTCTTCATCAGGACCGCCAAGCATATGGCTCATCACCTGAGCCGGAGAGCCCCGTTGATGATAGCACACAGGCACAGCAGCCCATCGATACCGAGAACCTTCAGAATTTCTTCACCAACCTCATGAATCGGAACACGTCGGCGAGAACTGGATCTTAGGAGATGATCCGCTCTGGCCCATCCCTGCAGCCTGTCTAGGATATCGAGCAAACCGTCTCGGCCGTAGAGCCTGATGAGACTGACACGGCAAGGGGATGTTGAGACGGACAGACCTTCCAGAGGATGAGGTGGACATGAGGCAAATGGCTCCACAGTTCCTTGTACCGAACCCCCCCTGAGACGAACTACGGAAGCGAAGTTTATGCAGTCCAAGTAGGAACATTTATGTCACTCCAGCTAACATCCTTGGATCATGGCAGGATGACAAGATGTGAAGATAAGAATTACATTAGAGTATTAGATACCCCAAATGACAAGAGGATGAATTCTTGTCGAAAGCTACTGCACGAGTTTATTCTTTGCTTCTGCCAGTCCCAACCCCTTGCTTCCGTGGTAGTTTGGGCCGCTTTGCACAACTCAGTCCTCTTTGTCTTCCCTCCTTTCGATGTGCTTACCCGGCTGCTGTTTTGTCCTACGATGTCGATCATATCCGTGTGAGTCTACTCATGGACACCTTGCCCCCGGGTAATGTTGCATGCGATGGCTTTCGGTTTTAAACATCCACCTCCGCAGCTTCCCACAAATTTCTTGACTTACTCTTGTCTACTTTCATCTGTCATAATGGGTTGTCACCAGCAAGATGGATTTGGGACAGATCTTGTAAGGACTAACGTCAAGTGTGTTGTCCATCATTTTCCGGCCTAACAATGTTTGATATCACCTTTAAGTACATCCGACAGCATCCTGTGGGGTACTTCCTTCTTCATCCTGCCCGGCAGCCGGCAGTCGTCCTCATCACAAACTGCAACGCAGCACAACACTCACGCTGACCACTCTTCCGAGCTTACAACTCATAATCCAGCGTCTGCATCTTCCGCACAGTGTCACCGACATTCAGCAGCCAGTCCAGATTGATCCTCGCGCACTCCGCCTGGCGCACCCGGCGACCCCACTTGTACACACGCATCTTGGTGTGGTACGCCGGTCCACCCAGGTCCGGAAGGCCGTCGTGCTGGACGCTCAACATGGACACCACAAAGTTGTCGCCTCCGGTTCGGTGATCCCGGTACAACAAGACGCCCTCGACCTTGCCTGCCTGTGCCGAGTAGTGTTTCTGCGTGAGGCCAAAGTTCCGCTTCATCTTCGGCTCGTTGGCATGGCTGTTGCAGTCTGCGATGGTGGTTTGTCCCTGCTCCCAAGTCTCGTCGTCGTGGTCGACCTTGTACGTGGGGAGTGGGAGGCCGTTCTTGGCGAAGTTCCTGGCACAGCTCTTGTGGCCGGTACTGGGGCAAACCTCGTGGCACGTGGTAATCGGCGAGAAGATGATCCGCTCGATCTTGGGGCAGATCGCGCCCAGGACGGCCATTGACGGGGCGAGGACGGCCTCCACCTGCTCCTCGGGCGTTGCGCCGCTCATCATGTCACCAACCAGGGTTCCATCCGCGCCCTTGTCCTGGAAGAGGTAGTCGGTGCTCCTACCAACGGCCCTGTAGTCGCCAGAGTCGTCGGGCTTTACCTCAGGGACACTGATACGCTGGAGCCGGCTGAGGTCGGCCTTGGTGAACGTGTGAGGGAGCTGCGCGTGGCGGGAGAGGACGAGGGTATCCAGGGCAAAGTTGAAGTTCACGCGAGACTCGCCTCCCGGAAGCGCGAACGCCAACGGATATCGGCGGAGTGTGACGTAGCGGGACTCCCTATTTACGAAGAGGGTTGCCGGAGGCTTGGTGGCGGTCGTGGCGATGGTCCGGACCCGCTGGAGGTCCTTCTGCTGGATCTTGTCCGGACGATTGGCCAACTTCTTCGCGTTGTGCGAGAGCTTCTTCTTCTCCTCGTCCTCCTCCTCGTTGGTGGCTTGTTGCTGGGCAACAGTTACATCCCGTCCGATTGCCCGGACGGAAGGGGAACCGTCCCATTCCGTGAGCATGACCGCATTGGAGTGGAGGAGTCTATCCTGGTGGCGGCGGTGGGAGGACTGGATCTTGATCTTGCTGCCGGCACAGTTCAAATCGCTCTTTTGGGCGTCGATGTATCTCTTGACCTTGACCTCTCGTGGCTCCCAAGTCGACTCCCAGATTTGGGCTCTCAGCTCGCACGGTAGCTTCGAGAAGTTCAGCAGTTCGGAGACGGGGCCTCCGTTTGGCACAACTGTGGCGACATCCTGGCCTAGGTCCTTAGTCGCGTTTGTCTGGAGGGCGGCCTGGGAGACGGTCAGGTCTGCTTGAGCACTGCTTCCAGCAGGTCGTGGCACCGTCCTGGGCATCGCGGGGCTGGGCATCGCGGGGTGTATCAGGGGCAACATGGATGAGGCTTTCTCAGCCATCGCTGAGTACTCGAGGCTCCAAGAAGGAAGTAAGGGGTTGATGAAAGGGTTCAGACCCGACAAGGTTGTCCAACATAAGACTGGACGACAGTTGGACTGAATCTTTTTTGCAGGGGCTTGACTTGATCAGCCTGCTAAGGAAGCTGTGTACAGATGTTCAGACGAACGCGTGCTTCAACAAGCTCCAGCCTGAGTTGAGGTTGGGTTACAAGACAGCGCGTTTGCCATTTCGTCATCACAACCTGCCAACAACAGACAATACAGCACTTCATCACTGGCCCCGCCACAGTCACGCGTGCCAGGCAATCTATTCACCTTTGCGAAGTTTACCGGCACAACACACAGCTTGGCCCTGAGAGTAAGAATGAGTCTTTCGAATGGGGCTTGACACTTAGGCTTGACACTCCCCTGAATCAAGCTCCAACCAAGGCTGCATCGCAAGCCAACACAGCAGGCTACAAGCTGCTTTCACCACCTCAGATATTCTGGGAAGCAATCAGGGTTCCTAGAGGTCCATTGAGGCCTCGATAGGTCAGTGCTAGACTCCAGGTATAAAGGAACTACACCTGACTTGTTATGCCACCCAGCAGAGCAAGGGACAAAGATGCCTTACTCATCTAGCAGCGACCTGGGCGCAGGCGAGCAGGCAGATGCATATTCCAAAGGTATGAATCCTCAACGTTGAATACCAGGCATTTCTAGGACTAAAAAGCTTCTGGGAGCAGACAAGCTTGAACAGTCACCATCTCCTAAGGTCAAGCTTGAGAGTCAGTTCGAGAAGTCAGGAGGTGCCGCGCAAGATGAGAAGAAGCAGTCTCTCTCTCTCAATCTGAAGCATGGTGGCAGTCTTCCCAAGTTGAGTATGACTCCTCAAATCAACCTCAACGACCAGCCTGAGGGTGAAGCAACAGACGTTTTGCGACGCGATGAAGCCGCAACACAGCCGACCTTCAATACCCTGCCTGCTGAGCTTCGACTCAAAATCTACGCGATGAGCTGGGAGCCGCGACGCGTCATCCTCAGTCGGTCTTGGCTGGGTGGACCAGAGGACCTGTCGGATTATGAGTTCTATGCTAGAGCTGCAGAACAGAACGTCTACGACTTCTTCAACGAGGATGAAGTGACGACAGTGTCTACAAGCACGGCTCCGTTGCCGGTGACGCTCTGGATCAACCAGGAGTCGCGACACGAGACCCTCCGGTATTACGAGATCGCTTTTGCTTGTCCGAAAAATGGAAGCAGCCAAATCTACTTCAATTTCCGAATCGACGAGCTGGAGATCCGTCGGCATGGTAAGCACATTCTTCTCCTTTTACGGTTCCCCCGTTGATGTGCTTGAGGATGTTCCAGGACGTATCACTTTGGGACCCGTAGCAGGTAATTAACACATAGCAGGCTCATTGAAAAGTATCATCAGTAGAGAGGAACTTGCCAGGCTCAAGGCGCTGATCGTCCCGGCGGGATACAAGGAGGCTCGCTCGGCGAGCAACACGATCGACAAGTTGAGCAACATTGCCACGCCCGTTATTGATCTGGATGGCAAGATTCACCAGTTGCACAACCTGGGTCTGGGTCTGTCCGCAGGTCTGGGGCCCTACGACCCCGGCAACCCTTTTGAGGACCCAGAGCTTCGTCGACTCGCAACACGTCTGCAACAAGAGCTCAACCAAGCCCTCGACCTACCTCCGCTGTTCTCATCAGCATGTCCAAGCCTCGAGAGAGTCCGACTCGAGCCCACCGAGACCTGTGGGTTCTGGCCCACCGAGGATTTCGCAACCCCGGGCGACGAAAATGACTGGTTTTTGAGGGGACATTGCGAATGCCTCACCTGTACCCTCACCTGGACGGCCAGGCAGCTGGGAGTCCTCGTCGCCAATGACCCCGAGGAGCAGGCCTGGTCTGTGGGCGATGCCTGCCCGCCGGAGCTGGGCGAGGATCGTGAGGTGCGGTTGGGAAAGGTTACTGTCACATGGCAGGCTCCTGTTGAGGACACGGCTGAGGAGCCTGAGGAGCCTGAGGACGACAGCCTGGCTAGAAGGGTTGTAGCAGACTGGGCTGTTGCAGCCACCGCCGTCGCAAACAAGATGACGGATCCTCATGCCGGTGAGGAACCACTGTATGTGATCTGATCCTCGAAGCCTGGTTTTCTTAGAACTGCCCGCCCAAAGCTATCATCATTATATATGTACAAACAATTCGCCGACAGGAGGGCTTTTCCTACCCAATACTCGCATAAGATAGATCCACTCGTTCTTTCCGGCCTCTTCTTGGTGTCAGATACATCAATTCAGAAGAGTATTCGAGCCAAGGAGAGAGAACCTAGAGCTGAGGTTCAATTCAATGCTATCTCTACTCTTGAATTCGCTATTTCTATTCACTGCATGCCTTGTGACAACGCTGTATATAGTCTCTCACTACTAGTGACCTTTAATGCTTGAATCCAGCTGAACAGCGTGGACAGACTTGGGCTACGACGAGGCATGTTTAGATCTGTAGCCGCCCGATCAGGTGACATTTCACCATCGTGTGGTAGCACTTCATCGTAATTGAAACATGCGCATTACGCTATTCGTACGTCTCCATACTGGGCCATTTGATACGCCGAGGCCAACTGGAAATCCCAGCCTATGCGAAACTTAGCCATAAAGCCTGTTCTATTGCCATAGTACGCTTTCCAAACCCATGCTTGGCGGTATATGGAATAACGATAATGTATAATATATGCCGTGGCGCACTATATCGCCTCATCCCAGTGCGCCCGGGCACTAGCTGCCGACGGCCACGACCAGTCATATGGAGTACATTGTGATTGCGCACGCTGCCAGCTCAGGTCACAAGGTTGTCGCCACGCATCTGCAATTTCGTTGGCCAGACAGGCCTCGAGCCAAACGCAAGGGCTCCGTTGTGATCGGTGACCCAAACAGTGCCCCATTCGACCACAGACCTGTTTCTGAACCATGAAGAGAGCCCAACTGCCCCGCGCCCCGTGCTCCTTGCTGGCGATGCTGCCGCTCATGTTTCGGTCCGAAGACTGACAGCTCGCGTGATCGACACGCAGGGCCGGACAGCTAGCCCACTTGGGTTGCGCTCTACTGTTAGTGCGGTCCAGTGATGTGTGAGGTTATGTCAAGGGCAATGGGATGTGGAGATTTCTGAAGGACCGGGAAAACCTGGGCGACTGGGCGTTGACTGGGCAATGGGAACAAGAGTTCTGGCTCATTGCATAGCGACGATTCCCTTTAGCGCTTGTAATTTCCCACCGTCGCCGTACGAGCCCGAATAAGACTCCGATGCTAGCAGTGTTACAGGTGAGCCGACAAGCATCAACGGGCGTCCGCCGCGAATGAAAGCCAAGCAACCAGTCCATGCTGGATCTCAGGAACACGTCGGTTGCCAGTAGCGAACGTGTCGTGTAGCTGGGATCTCCCGTGCGTGGCTCGGTGAAGGTCTATTGTTCCCAGCACTGGCTGAAGGACGTCCAAAGACGGTTCCTGGGATGGCTCGCCTATGGATTCTATCACCGAATCCAGGGTCCTGAGGAACTCAAACAGGTCCCAATTCAGGCTGAAATAGCTGCATGTCGACGGCCGGCCCGCATCCAACAGCCTTAATTGAGAGTCTTTGTCCGGGGGTCCCTTACCCTGGCGTTGGTCTCAGCTTTCGGTGCCTGTTTCCAATCAGCGCGCGCGGTAGTGGTGGCTTGAGAGACACCGCCGTTGGCAGTCGGTTCGGTGGACAATAGAGGCGCAAACATCTGTCGGTGAAGGCTGTCACCGCCATATTTGATTTTTTTTTTCATTGTCTTCCATCGTCGGATGTTGGTCTCGTTCAGAAACAAATGGATATCAACAACGTCATTGTCCGACGGTGGAAGCGTGCCGCGCCGTGGGAAAAAAGGCTGATGTCTCGGTATCCGGGGATGAAATGAGGACCCTTGTCAAGATGAAACACGGGGATGATGAGATACGGCTCGTCAGAGACCGAGCCCGCCCGCGAAAGAATGAAACCTTGCTCGAATAGGTCTAGGCTCTGTACAAGACTCTTGGTGAGCAGAGTCCTCACAATGCGCCGTGATTGATGGAAAAGCAGAGACGTAACGGGCGCGATGGGAAATGGGACAGACATGCATGATGAGGTGGTACTCGTGTGCTTTCGCGTCCGGACCGTTGGAAATTGGGTCAAGCTGGCGACATCTGGACCCAGTGAGGCTCATTTTAGGGCGTTCTATCTGAGAACAGACGGCGCCGAGCGGCGTCCACTTCATTGGCATCGTGTCTGCATAGCTCGGGCGTTGGCAAGCCCGTGCCTTTCCTGCACCGCTAGACAATCCCGTAGTTGGTTAGTGTAGCCGTGTGCTGTCCCAGTAGGATGGTAGGCACCGGACGCAGGCTAGCTGGTCTTGTTCTTGGTGGTGCAGAGGAGACAGAGACCTGGCTGGGAGTCTCATGGCGTTGCGTGTGTGTTCGTGAAACCTGAATTGGTGCCACCTCCGTGGTCCAGCGCGAAATGATGAGGGTTGTCCGTGTGGCTGCTGCAGAGGTTCTGTTGACTGTTGTCATGACGGAGGCTTGTTCGGCCAACACTGACCTCGTCTGCCATGGCCCCTCATGTGTATGCAGGTAGGTATGCACCTGTTCAGCCGGCATCCGGCATGCAAAAGAACCAGCCCCAAGGCCGAATGGCTGGCCGGCGGGCATGGCCACGCAGATGCATGTGTATACATCGGTCAAGCTCCCGCTCGAGCCGCGAAGTCTGTCGTGCGTGGCCTGCCCTAAACTCAGCCGCATTGGTCTCTTGGATGAAAGTCTGAAGATCTTGGGGTTATTAGCCTTTTCGCCTCCAGCTGCAGGTGCACAGCTCAGCTCCAGCTCAGCTCCAGCTCAGCTCCAGCTGCCGTGCTACTCGATGGACGTGGGGCCAGGAACCACGTCAACGTCGATCGAGGGAAATCGGATCCTGCCGGCCATTGCGTCGTCCGGTCAATCAGGGGAGCGAAGGAAGGGCCATTTGTTATTTAGTGTGCGCCGGGGGCGGGGGGTCTGTCTGGTTGAGGATGGTGGGTAAAGGGGGAAGGGTCACGTCCAGCCCGTCCTGAACTTGGGCCATTGTGTAGCGTAGCGTTGTTGGTTTTGGAACTCGGATGTCGCCAGATGCCAGGTTTGAAGATCTAGCCAAGCTTGGTCCGAAGATACGACATCCCATGTACCGCGTACTGTGTGCTCCGTACTCCGTATTCTGTGCCACACTGCACATACCTTGTCGCAAATGTCTGGCTTCTCTCCAGCTTGACGCACGGTATGTACCTAGACGGCAACTAATGATGGTAGACGAGGACATCGCAGCCTCCAGGCAGTTGGCCAGGAGGCCGCACCCCCAGCCCCCATCTCAAGTTGCTCGGAAATGCTCCCAAAGTCGCTCATACCCTTGCGACAGGCACCGCCTGGGGAGACGACGGGCTGTACATGATGATTTTGCACAGCAAGGCAGACTGGTCGCGAAGAGAAAGGACAGGAAAGGAGAGGGAGGTCTCAATGACTCGACACTGGCCGCCGCGCACTGGCCACCCAGGTTCGCCCGTGGTTCCTGCATTTGCAGGTTTACGGTTGCATGTGTTGCCCCGTGTCCCGCACCCCGTACCCAGGTAGGTAGACTACCTTCCCCGTCAGGCTTGGTGGCCAGGTACGCGTACCAGGTCGTGCAGGGCAACAAATAGCACAATGTGCTGTGTATGTAGGTATGGGCGGGATGCCAGGATGCCTAGCGTCGGACGGTTGATCCCTGTGTCAGGTGGTTTCCAGAACAGCGCAGTTCGAGTCTCGAGGGCCGGCCCTTTGTTGACCTGCCAGCCTGCACCAGCTTGATGCGACGAGAAACCCGGTCGTGGATGGAGATCAGTCAAGATCCGAACAGGTGGCCCCCTCGTGCTGCGTGATGATGGTCCTGGACCCATACAGTTGGAAACCTGACAGGCCTTGGTTGGCCTCGCTTGGGACCGTGAATGGGTGGTATCGCCGTGCCTGCGTGCGCGCGCGCACACACACACACACACACACACACACAGACACACAGACGCACGTGTTGCTTGCCATCTGGAGTATGACGCCGGCCCTCACGGCTCAATTGGCTCCATGGCCCCGCATGCGATTGACGGAGCAGGAATCATGACCTGCAGGGCTAGGGGAGCGGCCAAGGGCGGGCACCAGGACGGGGACAGGCCCGGGGACGGGTTAAGCTCGACTGGCTCGTCCCCTCTTCTCCCCTCTGTTCTCCATAATTCCTCATCTCGCGAGATTGAACCCAAGGCTCCCTCTCATCTCCACCGCCGGCTGTGGTCCCCGTGGTCCATCTGCCAACCTGTGTTTTGTCACTGGGTGTTGTAGCAGGCTGATTGCTATCGCTGGTGTCTTGAGCAACGACATCGAATCGCCAGCTTCTGTCGTTGGAAGTCATTTCGCGACAGCAAGGAGCATCGCTCGAGCTGATATACACCCCGTCTTACATGCCTCGTGCTCCATGCTCCACCTGTACCTCTCCTGTAGCACTGCCTGCTCGTAAAAAGACAACAAAGCCAGGATAAGAACCAGAACCAGAATGATAGCCAGAATCAAATCAAATACTTGCTGACAGGTCGTCCGGCCCCCATGCTCGAGGAGTGAAGGTTTCCACTTGCCATCACATGTCATATGTTCGTCCAGTCAGTACCTTGGGTCTACAACTCTGTACGGCGTAATATTCCTGGGGCGCTGGCTCCTTCCGCTCACTCCTTTCCTTCCCAATTCGCCCTCCTTATCTCACATCACTATTATTATTGTCTGAGCACACACACATTCACACGCACGCCAGAGGGAAGCCGCACACTACGACCGCTCGACTCCTTGCGCCCGCCGCCCCCACTCTCCCGGCGCTCCTGCCTGACTGCATCGTATAATTTTTTCTTTGCTGATGTTTCTTGAGCTTCCTGACTCTCCTACACTTTCGCTTCATCTTCTTGATTTGATCTTGTCTGTGTCTGTGTGCATGTGTTGGTGTGTGTGACACCTACCGAGGTCTTCACGGCCTTTTTCTCCAGACGGCAGAGCATTCGTACATTTCTGGCCGAGCCCGCCGGAGAAAAGTGAGCAGCTCGTCTCGTTTCCAACACAGCTACAAACGAAAACAGCTCGTGCAGTAGTCAACTCCTGGTTGCTATTTTCCGCTTGTATAGTCTGCGGGCCTCCTTTTCTGGCTGCCGAAACACACACACGCACATACACAGCTGCAGCAGCAGCACACAACCTCGGCGAATTGCTTGGCTGGGTTGGGATTTGAGATTTGAGATTTGAGATCCGGTCGCCGCCGCCGCTGCCGCCACCACCACCACGAGGCACCTCCCACAGTCGAAGACCAGCATCGCAGACCAGCATCGCAGACCAGCATCGCAGACCAGCATCTCAGCACCACCGCTGACTGGACCAGGTGTTCGATTGATCCTCGACAGGGACCTGGTGCCTTTGACCACGCCTACGTGTACTGTGTACCGGGCCAGCCACCTCTGCTGGTGCGTGTGCCAAGGGGCCAGCAATTTGGATTGCGCAGTAGGGCTTCAGGCAGGTTGCACGGCACTCCTTGCTTGTCCCGCATATCTGAAACGCCAAAAGACTTCGACCACCACCATCGTATCGACTTTCGGACACTGCAGCTCCACCGGTCCGTCCGCTACTCTAGCAGCCCAGGCTCTCTCTTCTGCCCCATCGTCGCCGCCGTCCTCCCAAAACACCCCTCTGTGTGATACTTTCCTGGAACTCTCAGTGCCTGGTACACTGCGCGCTGGCTTGCCCACTCCGTCCACCCACCACCGCATCGAGTCACTGTCAAGCAGCACAAATCTATCTCGTCGACGAGATACGACTCACTCAGCACATGCTGCTCAACCACGCACTCACTGCTCAAGCGCTCTCACCCACGCCGAACCGACCTTCTGCTTCTCCACACGGTCCCGGCACCCGCGAAACTCTGCGACACCTCGCTTTCCTCGACGACCGCGTGGTTGACCAGACCTGCCGAAACACCGAACGTACGTGATCCTCATTCATGACTACCCTCCTTGAGACTTCGCACCTCGCTGCTCAGGTACCCCTTGCCCTCTACGCTACATGCCCTGGCTTGTATCTGGCCTGCGTGGGTCGGCTTGCATGCGACCCTCCCGCTCCCACCCCCAACCGTTCACACTCTGTCCGCCTGTCTATCTGTCCGTCCGCCTGTCCAACCTTCGAGCGGTTTACCTTTTCTTCCAATCTTGGCTGGTTCTTTGTCATTGCGCCGCATTCGCGACATTCTTTTCTCGTTTGTGGACTCACTTGTCTCCACATTCACATCATCTGCGACGGTGACGAACATCCACTGACAGTGATCACCCTTAGGCCCAAGCATCAGTTCGTCGCAGGAAGTCGTCGACAATTCGTTCCTACTACCTGCTTTCTCTTGTCTTTGCCTCTTCGTCTGATTCTTCGCCCCTTGTAGAGGCCGTCGCTCACTCACCTTCACCTCTTTGACTCGTCGTCGCCGGTCGTCGCCACCCCATTACCGATGCGTGGATACCCGTCGGTTTTGCAACATTGAATTTAAGGTCGTGTCTCTTGTCGATCAAGATCTCTGACTGCCCATTACTAGACGGAAGAGGAAGCTTCGTGTGACCGTACCGAGGACGCACAACGTCAGGCTACGGACCCTCATTCTCGTCGTATTCGTCATCCCACGGGACTTTTTGATCACTAGCGTATTACGACGCCTAGTCTGCACCGAGCTGAACGGATCATCGTGCATGTAATCCACAGGTCGGGGACAACGAAGGTCTGAAAGGACCGGCAAAAGCTGGGGAGCCGCAGGCCTGTCCAGAAGGCTTTTTCTAAGTGGTACAATTGGACTGGTGACTGCTCATGAGTCGACCTCAATATGGAAACGATATGGAACGACCGTCAGCAGCGGATATTATCAGGAGGGCGAGGGAGCGGGCAGAAGCAGGGCTACCCAGGGAGGACTACAACACATTTCTCCAGCGACAGGCGGCGATGAAAAATGAGACCCCGGACGCGCCGTCAATACCTCCGAGGAGTCGACCTCCAATGGGGCCTCAAACTGGCAACATGCCCAGACAGCAACGACCTCAAGCACCGCCAGGATTTCAGAACAAAGATGGCCAAATTACACTTCCCATATCGAGGCCGGAACCCATCCCGCAGTGGCCTTTACCTGGCCCCATCGCGTCTCCTGCTAGTTCATCAGATTCGGAACCTTACAGACCACCAGCCGGCAGTCAGCCTCCACAGCGGCCGCCCCGCCCAAGCGAAGTGCCGTCAATACTTGACGGATCAAAAATACAGGACCCGACTCCAGTATTCCAGTACCAATCACAGTATAGTCGAGATTCGGAGACCATAAGTTCATCTATACCCGAGACACCATCCACATTATCTCGACCTTCGACGTTGTCTTCAGTGGGATCGATCCCGGATTTCCCGCTCCCAATCCAAGCTCCGCCACCGCCGCCGCCACCACCGGTTGGACCACCGAGACGTAGTGTCAACTTGGGGCCACCGCCTTCAGCGAGACGTGGCGCATCGTCGTTCTACTCACACCTTTCGTATGTCTCACCGATTCCGGAAGAAAGCGACAGGTCGAGGTCCCATGCATCATATGCATCAAGCGCAGCCATGCCGGAAAGTTGGGGCACGCCATCGCCTGCACAGAGTCCTTTGTACGGAGACGCATTCTACGATGACACGATTGTCGAGGAGTCGAGCCCATCCGAAGCGCATTCGATGCAAGATTATGGAGACGAAAGCCGGTTGGTCAGGAGTGCGAGCATTGGGAGGAGAGGGAAAGCTGCGCTTGTGACGACGGGCTCACGTGAGGTCACTGGGGAGGGGGGCGAAGAGAAGCGACCGTCACCGACGCCTATGCAGCCCAGTCCTTTTAATGAGGGTACGGGATACCTGGAACCATCCTCAAATTCTTCCACGACGGTTCCTTCCACCAAGAGCTCGAAGCCTCCCCCAGTTGGAGCCGCGCTAACCGCTGACGACATATTGAATGCTTACGATGCGGCATCTGCAGTGGACTCGAGAACGTCTAGGAGAATGTCGGCATCCTCACAGCCTCCACCTCCCGCGCCATTGCAGCCACGCGCGTATAGCCGGTTGTCGGCCATAAGACGACCGCCACGACTCGATATCGACGCTGTCAGGGATACGGAGGCGCGAGGCAGTCTGACCAGTCTCCCGGATCTTATTCGAAGAGCCACAAGGCTGGCTGCGAGTCTGGACAGAGGCAAAAGGCCAGCGAGTCGGTTGAATGATCTCGATGATTTTCCGGTTGAGTTTTATGGCGCTGGAACTAAGTCGGCAAACGTTGACAAGGAGTCTGGTAAGTAAACGACAAGCATACTTCTCAAATGGGGGGTTCGCTGACCTTGGCCGCAGATGAATACTATGACAACCACCAGTCTGGTTTCTCAGACATGCTTGCAGCGTTTCCACCGCCAGCTCAGGCTCAGAGTCGTCAGGGAGGTCTCCGACAAAGCATACGCGACTCCGTTATGTCGTGGCCGCTCCCACCTCTGAACCGGAACAACAACAATAACATCAATACGAATAACAACTTGACTCCCCGAGGTGCCCCAGACGACACGTCATCAAGCACTGAATCGACTCGCGGGAAGAAAGGTCGTCGCTGCTGCGGGCTACCGCTGTGGGGCTTCATCACCATCGTCGTCATCGTCATAATCCTCATTGCTGCCGCCGTGATAATTCCAATAGAGTTTTTCGTCGTCCGCAGACAAAACGTCAACACGCAAGCCGAAGCAGAGCAACAATGCCAAAGACAGGTCACTTGCCAGAATGGCGGTACTAATGTCGTCATCAACGGCTTTTGTTCTTGCATCTGCATCAACAATTTCACAGGCTTCGACTGCTCGGTAGCAGACAATATCGGCTGCACCACCGCCACCATATCAGGCGATACTAATATCAGTAATGTCACAGTGGGAAACGCTCTCCCGCGTCTCATCGCACAGGCACAGACTAATTTCTCGGTTCCCTTGTCCGGTACCACGATCCTTTCGAAGCTCAACGCAGGCAACCTCAGTTGTTCAGCTGAGAATGCCCTTGTGACCTTGAATGGTCAGAGCACGGCTCTCGGTGCTTCCGCTGAAGCCGTGACGGATATGACTGGTGGCAGCTTCGACGTCGTCAACGCCATTGCCTTGCAAGAGGCTAAGATTGCCACGATAACTGTCATGGCAGGCCAGTCGACCACGACAACGTTGACGATCGAAATCTCCGACACACCTGCCACGTCATCTGCGGCTATCCCAACGACTCTACCGACTACGACCATCACGATTACGAGAACCTTCACCAGCAGCTGGCCTCCGCCGTCACTCACCCCAGTCCCAACGACATCCTCAACATCCTCATCAACTCCTTCCTTGTTAACGCCTTCTCCAGTGCCGCCATCTGCCACCAACCCGGGCTCGGTATTCACTGTGACGAACGACGTCCTGGATTTTGCGCGAGTTGGAATCTTGTTCGTTCTTCAGCAGGATTCGGTTGCGGATGCCTCGACTGCTCAAACTGCGCTTCAGTCATTTCTCTCATCGTCATCGGCGACCATTGCAAGTGCGAGCAATGTCACACTAAGCCCTGGGAACTCGATCGACCTAGTCAATTTCCGTGTCGATGCTGGGACGGGGCTTGTCGGCTCGAGAAATTCGGCAACGCTGAGGCGGGCTTTTGAAGAGGAGGCGGAGAGGGAGCTTTGGGATCGCGATTGGATGCTATAGCAACTGAAAGCTGCCAACCAAGGAGCTGAAAATGCATTGCACGCCGAGCAACACACGCGGCGGAGACGACGACTGCAACCGATCATCACGAGGCATGGGAAGCGTGTTTTTAGACGCAATATCAGGAGTCAGGAAGAAAGTTATTTAGCAATTCTCTTTTTTCTTGTGTTTTGTTTTAATTCTCACTGGAGGAGAAAAAAGCCACGAGCTTGGAGTCGTGGATGCCGCGCTATTCATATACCAACTACCCTGTACAACAACCATTCGTCATACCTTTCGATTCTTCACATACAATAACCATGCTGCGCGGATACCAACATACACACATGTATGAGAGCGTACTGGATATAGCATCTAATGAAACCACCTGATGGCCCTTGCGGGCTTGCGCACAGCGTTGCGAAACCTTTCGAGTCTCACTGAGCTTTTCGTGACCGTCCATGATTCTGGGATCGTGTGCGATGAGGCGGCCAGCTTTCAATTTGTCGGGTGCTGTAGCAGGAAAAGGAAGTTCTCCGATAAGGTAACTTCGGTGCCTTTGTCTTCCTGGACCTGTGCAATGCACAGGCTAACGATGCCGGCAGGCAAGAGAGCCCCTTGTCACTTTTCAAGGACGTATTTTTCGGACAAAGTGACGTGTCTCTCTTGGACAGGTTATGTTCGATACCTTTACTTTGAGTGGCACCTCACTTCTATACAACTTCTGATGGAGCCTCGGGTATTTTGAGTCAAGAGGTGTCTTTCTTCACCAATAAAACTCCTCACTGTGCACATGCGTCGAGTATTTTGGTGAACAATCCGTTTACCGGTTCCAGTGGTCTGTCTCACAGCAAGACTGTGAGTAGAAAAGCGGCAAGCACCGTTGCAACTAGGGGAAACGTTATTGTTTCCAGAGGCTTGTCTCTGATCAATTTCACTTCTAAGACTCTTGAAGAGGGCAACAAGAGTTTCTGTACTTAACAATCCAGAGATTTTAGGGAGCGAACATCATGTAGGGGCATTCAGGATCCGTGGGCAACTGGCACAAGCTGGATTGTAACAGCAATCAGTTTTCTAGGTTTGGGGTAGCAGAGGAGTTGGAGGAAGTATACACCACCTGTGGTTCTTTGAATTAGGGGGGAATAGAAGCTCTTTCGAGTGTAAATGTTGGATTGATGTGAGCGGCCACAACTTACATAGCGTATCACTGATACAGTTTAATAGACTGGAAATGGTAGAAAGAAAGAACAGATAGAAACCCTGAAAAGTCTTTTCGGTATTATGATTTCGAATTCCAAGTATTTTCACAACAATGGAGCCCTCTTCTTCCTGGCTGAAGTTTTCTTAGGTACCTGCTTCACACCGATAGTGCTAAAGAGAAGTGCCTGCACATTTCACAGGTGACCTGCATCAGCAGCATTAGCGATCAGGACTGCAAGGGCTATTATCAAGTACCTATGTGAGATGGTATCAGTATTTCCAGGGTGGCTCAAAAGTGTACTTAGTCAATGGGTTTAAACTTACAGCCCTAAGCAGAGAGCGCCATCCATGTAGGTGGGCTGACAGTGGCTTGAAAAGCTGCGATGCGAGGTAATTGAGGCGACCCCGAGGAACACTAAATCCGCCGGGTTCGACTCGAAAGGGACCTGCACATTAAATGTGATGCTTTTGATGAGGATAATAGCCGTCATAATGTACGCAAACTCAACACCAACAGCATGGTTCAGCTCAAAGGGCTCGTCGAGGTGTTTTCTTGCAGCTTGCCGCATTCCGAGAAGGAAAACCGGAGTATTTGCCAACATGGGGAGTAAAATAACGCTCAAAAGATCTTCTGACATGTATGAGCCTGGATGTGGATCCTTTGAAGCAGATATCACGGCATAAGAACACGGTATTGCCAACATAGTGGCAAATATGGCGATGGATCCGTTGTCCAACAACAAGGTGTCAGAGTAGCTGCCATAAAACTCATTTGGCCAGGGACGCTCCGCTTCGTATTCAGCTTCGGGCTGCTCGTGATGCCACAGATTGACGTGTGTGCGTGTGCGAAAAGTAACAGTCCATAAGAAAAGCCCAGTTATCACTACAAGTGCTGTAATTGAGAATATCGTCTTGCTGGTTTGGGAAAAGTTTGAGTCTCTGTGGCGGGAGAGATGCACCCAAGCCAACATGCCCAAAATGCCTGTGAGGCCAAAGGACATCATGCTTCTTAGTTGGTTGGCGCTCGGTACGGGAAAGATTTCGTGCGAGAGACCATTGCTCAGGCACACGAGAGCGGGCCCCTGAGCCCACAAATCAGTCTTATATACGCCTCAAATAAGGCAGCGAGGGCAGGTTTTGGACGTACCAGAAGGAGATTTGCCATCAGATGGCCATAGAGGAACGACGAGGCAAAGCGCGTCTTATAGCGTAGGACTGATACAATTTGGAACTATGTGAGTCGGAGTTAGTAAGTCACGCTCCTATCACAGCCCAGACAGCGCAGGTGTACGAAGTAGGGAGATGAGCATACCAGCATGGGCAGAATCGAAGCGTAGGTCATCCACATTCTTCGACTGTTCGAACGTCTGCGTGATGCCTGGTCGATAGTGAAGCTCAACAGAAACCCAATGAGGCACAGGGCAGCCCATGGGACCAGAAACCAGGCACCTGGCTTCCATAATACACCGTATGCAATGAGGACGAGCACCCAGAACGATGCAAGAACTATTCCATGCACGCCACAAGCGATGAAGCCCAGCTGAGCCGTCCTGATGGCCTGAGCTGGGATGCTGATCCATGGCCTGTCATGCTCCCGGAAGGCTGTGGAGCTGTCGAGATTGTTCCCATAAAGGTACGCCTCTTGATTGTGTTCGAAATTGGTGGGCGCACTCATATGGCTATATTCCGCCAAAGGCCGTGCTCGTCGTAGTTGAAACCTCGCAGGACGCTCGGATTGAGCGCCTGGTGTAGGATGCATGCTGGCCGAATCTTCATGGGCGAGTACTTTGAGGGAAGTTCTGCGGTGAGACTGGACGTACGAGCTTGCTCTGCTGTGGTTGAACCATGAGCGCCAGGAAATAGTGACGCAGGCGTGCCTCAGGTATCCCCACTGTCCTACGTCGACGTGTTGCTGATCGGCGGCAATTGGTACGCATGTAGCTTGGCGGAGGCTTGGACCACGACATCGGGTCTTGGAAAAAGCTGAAGTATGATCTCCTCTCTCTTAATCAAAAACACCATTTTAAAGATACCATTACAGGTTCCAAGGCTAAAAACGCACAATATGGCTGAGGTGATGGCGATCACCAGCCTAACATCAAGTGAAACCCTCTAAGCTATGGTTCTCGTGGTGTTATACTCTCGACCCTTTCCACAATATCTTTCAGGTCACTGGGCGGCGCCAGCAAATTGCCTCTCTCTAGGTAATAGTTGATATGGTAGACCTCCCAATGGCAGGATGCACTTTTTGCGTGGCGTGGTACGAGTGTTGTTCTTTCACTGCGTTGCGGTAAAAATGATGGACACATGAACATGATCGTGAGTTGGATATATGACAAAGCTATAGACAATGATGTAACAACAACGTCCCTTTTCTCCACCTTAGAATCTTGTTCTACCAGGAACGAAGTACTTCCGAACATAAGACGCAACAGCTTGCCGGCCCTATGTACAGCCTTGCCGGCGTGGTGCATTACACATTAGCCAGTCCAATTTGTTGCTATTGTAGATAGATAACAAGTAACGGACCGCAACTGACTTGCTACAGATTCTAGTGAAGTTGAATTCTGTGACAATGGGAATCCATTTTGAGTACACATTGATCCAAACAAGCCACACTACAGTTGATCAGGCCTACTCCTTTCTTGTGTTACCTAGCTACAGTCACGTGCTAGATGCAGTGTAAAATTATTTCCCACGGGTTTGATGTGACGTAAGTAGTTGGAATGGTCATCAGCGAGGGTGTGTACAGTATGCGCCGTTATCAACTTCATTGAAGTGCTTTTCCAGCAGCCAAGCTCACAACGTAGAGTTTCTGTTTGCCTTGCATGACCTGCCTACACACACATTCCAATGGGCTATGCAACACTGCAAAGACGAGTTGCTAGCTGATCTTCTGGATTGCCAGGTGGAGAAACAAGACGACGTTACTATCCGGAAATCTATAACTCATCAGAGCACAGAAGGACCACTTGTCACAATCTCGATAAAAGAAGCAAATTTCGAATTGTTCAGCAATTGTTTGCAGTTCCCAGTGGTGGACGTGCGTTCGGAGGACATGTAATTATGGATATTGTTGGCAAGTACGACCCTCGCACTTAGAAGGCTACTTTAGTTATCCCCTCCGGAGCACGTAGCCTCTTAAAACTTAGATAGAACAATACTAATACATAATTGCTTCCTATATAACTATTATATATATAAGAAACCTATTAATATTAATTAATAGTTATAAGCATTATAAATTAATAAAATAAAAAAGGTAACCTTATAAGGATTTCCTTAACTTAAAAATTATATCCTTTTTATTAATAAGCATTATATAATAATAATTACTTCTTTAAGCCTTCTTATATTATTAAATTCCCTAAGTAAATATTATAAAGATTAAATAAACTAAATGGCATTTTTTATAATATTTATATATATATTTATTATTATTTAAGAAATATATATTTATTATATATAAAATTTTATTAAAAATAAACTTATTATAAACTTATTTTTAACTTCTTTTTAAAATTTAATAAAACTTAATAAAGCTTTATTTTATTAATAAATAAAGCTTATAATTATTATAATTATTAAAATTAATATAATATTATATTATAAGTAAATATAAGTTATATATTATGCTTTTAATTAATATAAAAAGATTTAATAATAAGAGAAAGCCTTAGCTTTTAAGGCTTAAAGGAATTAATAACTTTTTCCTCTTAATAATTATAATTTACTTATTATTAAATTATTATTATTAATTTATTCTTAAGTATTATTTATTTTATTAATATTTCTTTATTTTATTAATTTTATTCTTTATAATATTTATTATAAAAACTTATAAAAATAACTAATAATATTAAAAAGCCATTAGCTTTTATTAAAAAATATATAATTAATAAAATGCTTGCTTAAATTTTAATTAACTTAGCTTATTATAAATATATTAATTTAAAATTATAGTTTATAACCCTTATATAAAAAGTATTAATAAAATATTTAATTACTTATTTAATAAGTATTTTAATAAGCTATATATAATAAAATCTTTATAATAATAACTTTTTCATTACTTATTATAAGAATTATAAGGTATAAATATAAGTAATATTTAAAGTATTGCTAAATCCTTATTAATAATGCTTAAAAGTTTTTTTTTAAATATAAGGCATTTATATAAAATATAATAATTAACTTATAATATTATAATTAATTATTATAGCTTAAGCTAAGGAAAGATTAAAATAAATTAATAATAAGCTTTATAATACCTTATTAGCCTTAAAATTAAGCATAAATAAATATTGCATATAACTTTAAAAATAATAATTATAAACATAGCCTCTTTAAGAATTATAAGTAGGCTTTAAATAATAATAATCATTAAAAGGATAATTCTTAAGATAACTTTTATTACTGCTATTAACTTTAAATATATAATTATAAAACTTAAACTTAATAATATAATTTATTAAAAATTAATATAGCTAACAAGGCTTATTATTATTTATAAAGAAATAAAAATAAAGCTTATATTAAAAATATATATTATATTTAATATAACCTTAAGTTACCTTAAAAATACCTTTATTAAATAAAAAGTATAACTTATATAAAATTCATTCTTTATAATATATTCTTAATAAATGCTTAAATTTAATAAAGTTAGCATAATTTATAAAAACCTTTAATAACTTTTATAAATATATTAAAAATTTATATAACTTATTAAATAATAAAATAAAGATATTTTTTAATATTTATTATTATATTAAAATTTAACTAAGTTAATTTTATATAATTTTTCTTTAAATGCTTAAAAATTAAGCTAAGGCTTATTACCTTTATTTTATAAATTAAATTAATATATTTATAATAATATACTTTAAAATTAAGATGCATTTTAATATAAACTTTAATTATTAATATTATTATATAAATTAAATAATAATAATATTTATAAAGATAAGAATATAAAACTTAAATAAAGATTTATATAAGGTTTTATATTTAATGCTTAATAAATTATAACTTTATTAATAAGCATTAAGTTAAAATTATATTAAAAAGGATAACTTAAAAATAATAGTAATTAAAGCTTATAAAGGAGTTTTTAAGCTAAAAATAGCTCTTTTTAAGTTAGCTTAATTATATAAAGAGTTATTTTTAAATTTAAGATTTATAATAAAAAAGCAACTTAATTATATAATTATAATTTATATTATAAATAAAGTTTTAAATTAATATTATATTAATTATAAATATAATGGCTAAAAGCTAAAAAGAAAATAATAATTATAATCTTAGGCATTTTAAGGAAATTAAAGATTTAATTAATTAAACTTAAGCTATTTAAGCTTTAAGCAGCTAAGATCTTATAATATTAGCTATAAAGCTTAAAGTAATAATACTTATAAAAAAAGAAAAAAATAACCTTAAAAGAAAAGATATTATATTTATAAAAAGGAAAAATGTTAATTAACTAAATATTTAGCTAATAAGCAATATTTCATAAGAAAAAGTTACTTAATATAATATAAATATAAAGGTTATAATAATAACTTTAATACTTTTTTAAGTAAGTTTAAGAAATATAAAATAAATAATAAAAATAAATTTTATAAATATAAAAATAAATAAAATTAAGATAATAATTATAATAGCAATACTTATATTATAAAGATAGGACTTAATAAGGAGATTTATTATATAAATATTAATTACCTAGCCAATAAAGCGTTTATATATTAAATCATGGGAAATAATGTCTTTTAAATAAAAATAACCATTATAGCCAACCAATTTATCTTAAAAAATAAATATAACTAAACTTATTTTTAAGAAATCTTGCTAAACATAAAAGCATTATTAATATCCATGGCTAAATATAAGTAATTCCTTATATTATAATAAAAAGACTTAAAATACTAAATTAATATAATTATTATAAAAAAAGCTAAAGTTAAATTTAATAATAAAATAACCATTAATTTGCTTAATATAATAAAGATTTCTACCTTAATTAATTATATTAATTTCTATATTATTTAAGCATAAACTCCATTCTTACTTTACTTAATAAATATAAATAAGCTTTAAGTATATTATAATAATATTATAAATAAAATGGTTTCCTTTAATAATATAACTATTATATTAATATTTAGAAAATAAGGTTACCTATAGTTTTTTCTAAATTAAATTATTAATGCTATATATTTCCTCTTAAAAATAAAAATAAGAAAACTTTATTATTACTTTAAATACTTATTAATAAATTAATTATGCTAAATGCTTAAAAACGCTAGCAATTTAAATATTAATAAATAAGCAATAGCAAAGATTAAAAAGATATATCATTATTATTAAATAAATAAACCCATACTTAAGCATTTTAAGTTTATATTATATAATAATTATAAATTTAATTATAAAATCTTAATTAACATAATATATTTAAGTAAATATTTAATTCTTTATATTATAAATTAAGCTATTGTTTTTTAAAAAGCAAAATTCTTAAAATTTATATTTATAAAAACTATATAATAAATACTATAAATATTTTAAATTAATATATATTAAGAATTATTAAATATTATTAAATATAACATAGAAATGAACTTTATATCCTTAAAATTCTATTTAAAGGTATAGATAATAGAAATTAAATGTAAATAAGTCCTTATAAAGGTATATTAATTTATTAAGAAAGTTAAGAAATATTATTAAGCTTTTAAATAAATATATAAAATCCTA